TAGGTAGGTAGGTAGGTAGGTAGGTAGGTAGGTAGGTAGGTAGGTAGGTAGGTAGGTAGGTAGGTAGGTAGGTAGGTAGGTAGGTAGGTAGGTAGAGACTTTATTTAAAGAGGGTGACACTTAATAGTACGAAGTACTAATGAACTTGTGGCCCTCATAAAATTTACAAAAAAATTAGGGAGTATATCTATTGTCTATTTACAACATTTATATATATCTATGATTATAAATCAATATTCAGACTTTCAAGTTTACTTAATTAAAAAGGTTATATTACATGAGGTATATATGACATTACATTTTTATAAAAGAGAACATTATATAGCTATAAATGAACAATGTCAATGCATATATATACGTTTCTTTTAAACGTATATATATGCATTGACATTGTTCATTGTTCATTTATAGCTATATAATGTTCTCTTTTATATAAATGTAATGTCATATATACCTCATGTAATATAACCTTTTTAATTAAGTAAACTTGAACTTGAACTTTAATTAAGTAAACCTTTTAATTAAGGAAACTTAGCTAAAAGTTGAACTGCCTTAGGCATCTGATATTTCAATGGGTCGCTGCCGCGTGTTCTAGATTCTGGGTGTAATTTCAAATACTGATCGGTGTTATAATCTACAAGGTTATGACTTATCCTGTACATCATTGTTAATCTTGATTCCACCCTCCTCTCTTCCAATGTTTTCCATCCAAGCGTGTCCAACATACCTGTAACACTGGCAAGTGCATGGAGCATAGTTCTGCAAGCAGAATCTGGCACCTTCCCATGCCTCACATTAGCATATTCCAGTCTTGGCCTTACCATTGTTTTGTAAACAGTTTCTCTAACGTGTTTTGGACAATTCCAAAAATGTCTTCGTGCCATTCCAAGTAATTTACTTGCTGTATTTGACACATGCTCCGAGAACATCATTTTGTTATTTAGGGTAATGCCCAGGTAAACGACCGACTCGACTTGTTCCAACTCTGTGTTACAAAAAGAATATTTCCTTTGCGAAGAGTCTTTTTTTGCTGATTTGCATAACACTTTACATTTTCCTGGATTGAACTTCATTTGCGATTTCTCTTGCCAGGTTTCCAACTTCTAAGATCGGCCCGCTGCATGCAATTCATCACTGTTTGAGGTTCCCGAGATTAGACCGTACAAAAGCGCGTTGTCCGCAAACAATCGAACACTATAATTCAGTGAGGGTTCGTAGCGGTCTTTGAAATCCTTGAAAGTCTTTAAATTGGAATGCAGGTCTTTGAGGTCTTTGAAAAGTCTTTAAATTGTGTGAAAAGTCTTTGAATTCTTTAGTGAGTATTTGATTATACGATTTCCTAGCTAATAAAATAGATTGATTGAACAAGATTTTCGCAAATATCGACGAAAAGGCGCATTTTAGGATGTGATTTGACGGGACTAATTACTGGGTAAAAATGGTGTTTACACTCGCAATTTTTCGACAGCTGATTGCCCTCAAAGGTCTTTGAAAAGTCTTTGAAAATAGGCAGAAAAAGTCTTTGAAAGTCTTTAATTTTTTTTGGTCTTGGAGACTACGAAACCTGTCAGTGCGTTTGGCAAATCGTTGCATGATGTACAGTACAAAAGGAACAATAGAGGTCCCAAAACAGTTCCTTGTGATACTCCTGAGGTTATCGATGTTGGTTTGGCTGTAACCTGGAATTCAGGCCCTAATTTTAGGGCATACCTAATTTTAAGAATTTTTTATCGCTGCACATTTTTATGCAAAGTTTAGCCGAGCAGAAGCACGCCCTGAAAATTTCTGAACACACCCTTATAAAATGTGTAACAACAAAGCAAACTACAATTCATATTCAAAAATGCCAAAACGAACATACACTGCACAGCAATCTGGGAAATTTGGGGGCCAAGGACAAACTTTGACTTGGGGGCTCTCGTGATTCCATGTTCTAACACTATGATTAGGGGGTCCGGGGCATCCCCCGGAAAAATTTTGAAATCTGAGGTCCCAGAAATGGCCAAATCCTGCATTCTGGAAGTCTAGTTGACAGTTATATCTATGCGGTATATTTCACTGCAATTCTTTATTTGGGCCCCCCTTTAACTCGGGTCCCAGGGCAAATTGCACCCCTCTGGGCGGCCTTGACAGCACCTGCAGTTACGACTATCTATGACAGCTTAGTTTCATAATAACATGACTGAAGAAAATAAATATTTTCCTCTTGGCAAATGAAAGGCGGCTTACGGGCTTTGGCGTGACAAATCTCTAGAGGAGTTCCAGGGACATGCACCCACAGATCTAGGCACTATAAAAGGTCATCTCCTGCAATGCGCGGGGACATTCTATAGAATTCTGAAAATTATACAGTAATTACAAGATCTTAAGTATCATTCACTCTATCTTCCAAACCCATAAAGAGATCTTTGGTGAGAGACTTTGTTCATCTGATGAACCATAAGTATGTTATTAGTGCGGACGTTCGATAATTTGGCAGTCATCATTTCAATTTCAATTAAATCATTCTTCAGTTTTTCTGATCATTGACATTGTCTCATTTTCTTGTGTTAATTAACAGCTTATCAAAGCAAATTTTATCACTGCACATTTTACATTTTATCACTGCATATTTTACTTTTATCACTGCACAAATTGGTTATCACTGCACACTAAAATTAGGTATGTTTTAGGGCCTGAACTTCAGGTTAGATTGGCTGCTTCCCCATCACAAACAACTGTCTGATAACGATCCGTGAGAAATGATTCAAGCCAATTAATATTCAGTTAATTTCAGGGGCCCTTGTATTCCGTAACTTTGTAATTTGTCGAACGCTTTTTCAAAGTCCAGAATGACTGCATGTACAGTTACAGTCGACCTTTTGGCCCTAAAACCATGTGTAAATCTGTTAAGATGTTGTATCGGTCGAACTACTTCATGATATGGCTATGAACAATATGCTCGAGCACCTGACAATAAGAGTAACAAGTTGCTATGAAATTCCCCCGTGGTTTATGAAGGAATATGCAAAAGAATTGCTCCGACACTTACAAAGATATCCCAGGAGTCTATATAGACAGTGGCGTCGTACCAAAGAAATGGAAAAACACAAACGTCACGGCTATTTTTAAGAAAGGCTCTAAATCCGATCCTATATAAGAACTAAGTATAGGCCAATTTCGTTGACGTATATCGCTAGTAAGCAACTTGTTACTCTTATTTGAACAACTTGTAGCAAGTCTGTTACTATTATCAAGATCTGTCACACAAGTAAGAACAAACAGTGCGGGCATGCACATCCTAATATCGGCTTGTCAGACAACAACCCTGTTACAATTTGTTTGCAGATCCGTAACAACTTGCGCGAGGTGTGTATATTTCACAAACACTGTTGTAGTCCATATATTATATATATATATATATATAGGTGCAAAACACATTGTTGTGTGTGGCATATTTTCGACAATTTGTGTGGAGCAGGAGGTCGCTGTTGGTGAAATGATAAAAACCGAGTATCCTGAAGCAAGTGTGACGTTATCTCATCAAGTAGCAAACTTTGGATTGTTGGAGAGGGAGAATTCTTCAATTTTAAACGAAAGCTTGAAGCCATTGAGTAAAACCGCCATTTCTGCTTTCACTCAAGCTGTTAAAGATGCTGGCCTCAACTGTCCGGTATTTTTTACTCAGAATGATGGAACGATAATAAGGTAAAGAAGTTGGAATTATTGCAAATTGCATCGGACTGGTAAAGGCAAAAATTCTTATCAATGATTATTGCCTAATATGCGTAAACTATAAATCATACTGCTATTATATAAGGTTAGTATAATGAGAATGCCAGTGTTGTGCGGATGCAATACGTAAATGAAGCAGTAACAAACACTCGTTATTGCAATTGATTTAAATTAGTGATTTAATGAGATTCGTCTAATATATAGTGCCAGGGAATTCGCCACAGGTTTCCCCAATTACGGCGACTCCGTAATTAACTTTACAATTACAATAGTTTTAACATGGTTGGAACAAACTATATAATATAGCCTAATAAGACAATTTACAGTCGATGCAAGAGACAACTGACAACAACTTAAAATTGCATCAAACTACATTTAACACACACAGATTTCCAAGTTCGCGGGTCGTCACAATTAATAAATTTTGGATAGCGCGTTTTTGTAATACATCTTTTATATATAGTCCAGATTTGAAACCATGCAAACCAATATCAGTATCTAATATTACGGAGGTCACTTCTGGTATGTTACAGTTTTAGCAAAGGGTATTACAAATTTTATTAGCATGACAAAATTACTGGATGCTTATTGGTTGAGAGGTGTACAATTATTTCATTCATTGAGAATTATTTCCCCCCGGCGGCTAGTCCAATTTTAGCAAAATTTCCAAACATCACTCGTACTATTATTAATCCTAGACTTGGACGAAGTCCGTCTCTCTAGAGTGCGAGGGAGAGCGCGAGGTGCCACCTTGCGACTCGGACTCTAGAGAGACGGACTTGATCCAAGTTTATATTAATATGGATGATTCCAGCTACATATAGACGAAATTTTGATCTAGACAGGAAGGACGAAAACCCATTACCATACTGTAGCTGGAAAGAACATCTTAAAATGAGTAAAACTGCAAAGTTTGGTTGCGAATTGTTGTAAAATGAGGGAAATATAGCCTTGTGAAGTTCGCAAATTTAGTATATATAATTTGCATTACGCGCGGGAAAAATAACCATTTTTGAGCCGAAAGTGGTTATTTTTACCGCGCATAATACAAATATATACAATATTTGCGAACTTCAAAGGGCTATATTTTCTTCATTTTACAACATTTAGCAACCAATCTTTGCAGTTACTCATTCTAAGACGCCCTTTCTAGCTGTGGTGTTGGATTTCGTTCTTCTTGCCTTGATTTAAAATTTAAATTTAGTCTATAGCTGAAATCACCTATTGTACTCGCCATTGCATGATTACCTATACTAATCAAGTTTTCGTTTCGTTCACTTCTGGTTACTCTCGTCAATTAGCCTTTCTCACGCCCGATTTTCCCGCCATTTTTGGGGGTACTGCCTCTCCCACGTTTGAGACTCTCCGCACCACAAAATGCGACTTTTTGGTATTACAGTTGTTTGTGTAATGGTAAATTTACAATTGCAACTTTTAAAAGTTGCTTTTCGATCACGTTGTTTGAATTGTCTAAAATCGTTCACGAGGGCAGACAGTACTCAAAAAATGGCGGATCTTAGCCTTCGTGAGTAAGGCTAATTGAAAGGGTCGTCACGAAGCTCTAGGAAGATGTTCTGTGATTGGTTGATTATGACAATGACAAAAGAATAAGCTATAGAATGGATTTTGTAAAGAACGAAGCAAGAACAATATTCCTTTTGTTTATGTAAGCCAATTACGTCTTTTGTTATTGTCATAGTCAACCAGTCACAGAACATCTTCGTGTTTACTGAATTGAAAAGTTACAACCACTATAGTGCTTGTAGCTCATTAGCATAATGATCGTGAGGATTTGACCTCTCGAGGCCTTGAGGAAAATATGTATATCGTGTTTAATATTTTTCACCTCGCGAGGAAAAAATCTCAACGTCTGCGGATGTTGCGAGCTTAGTGATGAGCTGCTTGAATCAATTGGCCAATGAGAAACCATAGTTTCTTCATGTGACCTTGAACAAAATGGAGGAAAATGCAAACGATTTTGTCAATTATGTTGTTGTTGGGCATTTTTCCCAACGTGCTGTGAAAATGCATAGCCGAGGTAACCGCCACACGAGGCGGTAATTAGCTCAGCAAGTTTCTCTCATGTGCGGCAGGCTTTTGGAGCAGTGCAAATCTGTTGCCATCGTTTTATTTTCGTTATCGTTTTATCGTACAGAAATCTAAAATCCTGCGTTTTTAATTGTTTAATTAAATAGTGTTGTAAACACTGAAGAATGGTCAAAAAAATGTTTTAGCCATATAATTACAAATAACTTATTGACTGAGCTTGTGCGGTCCGGACATTGGGATATCCGTGTGTATATGATCTACGGCTCGGTCCATATATACAAACAAAAAAAGAACTACAGTCCGGACCTCTTGCTCAGTCGAAAAGAAGTGAGAAGCTTTAATTGAGGACCAATTAACATTTGTGTTTACAATGTTATATACTGCATGTATAAACATCCGAATATACTGTAAGCACACCCGAATATAAGCTTGCCAGTGTACAATGATATTCACTAATGACCAGGTCATTCCAAATATAAGCCCCTCTCCCCCCGAATATAAGCCCCCCCCCCAAAAAAACACATAAGCCTCCCCCGAATATATGCCTTTCCGTGTATAAGCCCATGGGCTTATTATTGGACGGGTATTTATTAACGCAACGACGGGGATTCCAACAGCTCAGAGGAGTGACAATAACTACATTACGGTATTATTTAACAATTATTCTTCGAAGGCGAGGTGATTATCGGTGATTATTTTTATTCAGGATAATCACCGAGCCTGAGGTGAATAATTGTTTTAGTATAATTCCATGGGTGATTATTTGGAGAAAAGTAAAAAAATACACATTTCTTCGTCATTTAATTGACAAAACGGCTTCGGCTGCCATTTTGAAAATCGCGTAGGTGATTATCGCGTTATAATCACCTCGACGGCAACCAATCAGCGTGGAGAATTTTCAATAATCACCTATGTAATTATACTAGAACGTGTTAACCAATTTATTTTATTATGTGTTATATACTGCAAGTTTATATTTCTTTTCGTTCACGGTATAGTTTACAGATACAGTACAATAAGCCTCCCCCCATGTAAAAGCCGCTTCAAAAAATGCTTATGGACGAATATAAGTCCTGGGCTTATATTCGGAGGTTCACGATATCATACGTATTGATGCGTTAATTTAACTTGGACTCTATTTCTTACAGTGCAGAGAAGAGTTCGCAATTTCCTGTTTTGACATTCTCTTCTGGTCCGACGAACAGTATGCGAGGTGCAGCATTCTTATCCCGAAACCAAGACGCCATTGTTGTTGATATTGGTGGTACCACAACAGATGTGGGGGTTTTAGTGAATGGCTTTCCAAGACCAGCATCATTTAGAGTGAAATGTGCTGGTGTTATGACTAACTTTCGCATGCCAGATGTATTTAGTTGTGCGCTTGGAGGTGGATCAATTGTTTCGAATGAAGGAAAAGAGGTACAGTACTTAGTATTAGTAGCAGGATTTTAGCCAGGTTCTGAAAACTGGGTGTCCGAATTGCCCATGGCCCTTTGGGGACCAGGGGTGTTGCATATTTTTCGATAATACCACTGTCACTAGGCAGTACGCACTCTAAAAACTAACGTTCTAAAATTGTAGTAGTTTGAAAGGGCATGTAGTAAAACACTGACTACCGGAACACCACCGGAACACCACCATTTTGTTTGGGGTTAGGGTTTGGGGTTAGGGTTTGGGGTTAGGGTTAGGGTTGGGGTTAGGGTTGGGGTTAGGGTTAGGTGGTGTTCCGGTGGTGTTCCGGTGGTGTTCCGGTGGTGTTCCGGTGGTGTTCCGGTGGTGTTCCGGTGGTGTTCCGGTGTTCCGGTAGTCAGTGTTTTACTACATGCCGTTTGGAAGTGTAATCGCAAGTTATCGTGCATTACAATGCAATAAATACGTCCCTTCCCCCTGTTTTCAATTTGCCGTCTTAAATAAAAATTAGAGAGCTTAAGCTTCGCGTTCAACGTCAAACGTCAGGCAAAGAAAAATTTTACGCTATAAAGCAATAAAAAGTAAATGGGCTTGTTGTTTTTATAACTAGAATGCTTATAACTATTCCTGTGTCATATGAAAGAAAATATGACACATAGAAATCGAACGAAAATTATGCCAAGAAAATTCGGCCTTGCCGTTTGTCGTTCCCGCAAACGTGAAGCTTGAACTCCCTATTGGCTGGACGGCTAAGACTCTGATTAGTAGTATAGGATTGGATCAATATAAGTATTTCACCACTTACCCAGTGTCATAATTTGGTGTAATGCAATGTAGTTGACTAAATTACAACTTAACTATTGGCCATTCCAACTTGAGCAGACTGGGACCGAGTGTCAAGTGTAAAATATGAAGAAATAACTCGATTAAGCTCAAAATTGTTAAGTATACTTTGACTGTAATTGAACAAGTACAGCATGAATACTGAGTTTTGGGTCGCCATCAACCTACATGAACGAGCTTTATAAATTATATGCTTTCTAAATAACGAGCCATAAACACTGATCACTATGGTTTTATGAAGTCGATCACAAAGCATGATCATTTTAGGTTGGAGTTTTAGAAATTAATTAAAAATTACTACGAAATATATGGAAGTTTGAGGTTTTAGGGAGCGGACGTTACTATAAAAATTATAGTAAGTTTTCCAATTTTTGAAAACTTGTCAGTCATCTAAATATACTAAATTGCCCTTTAGTATATTTATTGGATTGAGGATTCTCCTGTGCCGAATAAAGGAATCTGTTACTTCGGAACTTTTTAAACTTGAGTTGAAAGTTAGCTGACAAATATTTATGCCTTGAAAAACAAAATATTTATATTTTTGTTTATATCATTGATTCTTCATGGGCTGCAGTGATATAAACAATGTGAATAATAAATTACCGACGGATGAGTCCGATACCGTATAACGAAACGTCTATCCCCACTGTTTTTCTAATAGAGAGGTTCAGATTTGACTTTCACTCCCGCCACTACACCCCTCATTTGTTTAGTCCACATCTGATTGGTTAATCGGATATATGAAACGCATCTGATTGGTTCGTAGTTTTTTAGCGGTACTGGTAGCAGAAGTCAAATCTGAACCTCTCTAATGATGCAGTCTCATGGACATCCAGAAAACTGCCAAAGCAGACTACAGTATAATATGTGAATGTAAAACTTTATTGAGGCCTTTGAGGGTAAAAAACACTCTACATGCAAGTCCTGATAGACCGATAAACTAGTGGTCCTCAATATTATACTAAAAATTAAACTACATAAATAACTTAATACCTATCTAAAATATCAAGCTTTCGTTGGTGAGGATGGAACTACCTGAAAAATATAAGGAGAATTTCGACGTTTCGAATATATACAAATTTTTATTTCTTATTATGTATAACACTACAATAATCAAGACCTATGAGTAGGGCCAGGGATTTTTCTTTGCTGTACTGGCAAAGTGTTCCATAACTTTCTTGCAGTTGTTAAGAATGTTTTTCCTCCTTTCGTTTCCCTGATATAATGGGGACAACGCGAGATAAACGTGTCGCACAACTGACTGATATTCATCTTTTAAATAATACAGCAATTATCGAATTCAGTTTATAATATAATTATATAAATATATATATAATTCGTCATATATGAAGAATTACATGACGCGTTTGTGTTCGGCTTCGGCATATAACACAACTTCGGCCTTGATAATACTTCATATCATGCTGCTAAACCTCGATAATCGCTATACTTACCTAAGTTATAATCTCGATTTCGTTTATTTTATTTTCCTAACAGCCGGTCGTTGGACCGAATAGTGTCGGTTATGAACTGATAACCAAATCCTTGGTGTATGGAGGGTCAACGTCCACAACAACTGACTTTGCAGTGGCGGCAGGGTTGTGCAGTATTGGCGACTCCAGTAGAGTTGCACATCTGGATAGTTCTTTGGTTAGCTCTGTTGTGTTAACTATCAGACAATTACTGGAAGATAGTATTGACCAAGTCAAGGTAAGATTCACATTGTATGTTTTTCAAGCAGGCCTTAAAATATATTTTACAGAGCCGTTTGACAGAATGTCCGATGCATGACTTTGAGTTTGGGTCAGACATATGTATGTTCAGTTTGGCTCAGAAATAAGTCTGAATAACACAAATTAATATCAGCACAATGTAGGTTAATTCTGAACGGCAAATGTCGTGAAGATATTCAATAATTTGTGTCATTCATACTCATTTCCAAGCCAAAATTAACTTGCTTGCCAAGAACAGCAGTGACAGTTCGACAACTTAAGCCCGTTTTCCACTTCACCATTTCGCTTGCCGCGCCCTCGATTACATTAAAACAACATTTCCAGTTAAATTTTTATACGCTCCTTTGATTATCCATAAACCTCAATTTCACTTAGGTTAGCCTGCGTAGCAGACGTTTAGTGCGGGCGGGAGAGTGGAGGGCTCTACACTTAGGTTGGACAGAATGTCCGGTGCGGACAATTTCACGTTTGCGTCGGACAATTTCACGATATTTTATGACCGACCGATATTTTAACGCCTGTCAAGTATCCTGATACGACCCTTGGTAGTGGTCTAAACCTATCTTAGAAAAGTAATGCTGACAGTATATGCATGTATAAGAAAATATCATCTGGAATATATGCTATATCAAACAAATCAAAGAGTTCGTTGATAAAAAAAACCCACTCATATTGGTGTATAATGCTTTAATTCAACCCTATTTTAGTCACTATTGCGATGTAAGGTTTGGAATGTACTTGGCGAAAGCCAATCCCTTCGTCTTCAACAGCTTCACAACAGAGCTAGCAAGTGTACCTGAGCAGCAAACTGTACTGAATTTATTAGGATGGGAAACACTCAAAACACAAAGAATGAAAGCTAAAGCGAAAATGTTTAATTTAAAATACTTCATATATAGTATGGGGCCAAATTATCATAAAGAATTATTTACTTTCAAAAAGGAAATATTAAAAATCAAGTACCGTTTATACGTTTACTGGCAAAGCCTGACGTTCAAATAGTTTGAAAAAGAGTTTTATGTATATGATGATGTCTCCGTCAGTGGAACTCTTTACCAGACGACACTGATAAGAGAAAACAAAATGCTATCAAGTTTTGAAAGGAGAATCGCTTCCCATTGCTTTTGAAACACATAATTTCTGTAAATAATGTATCTGAGTGTATAGAATTTTATATTTCCATGCTCATTCCTTACTCTTTTTAAACTTGTAATAATTTGTTGGTTCACACGCCCATTGCCGAAACCAGCTTTAGCTGACAATGTTGGCGTGGTTAAATAAAGTTTACAATCATCATCACTCTTCTGAATCTCACATAAGAATTCTGATGAAAATTTTGCAAAGCCATTATGCATTGACGTGCTTATAAGCATTTTAAAGTTTCAACCTGTCAAAACTAAATTGTCAAAACTTGTACCAAACTTATTATTCCTGTCCCCATTACTGGGTGCTCCGTGCTCGATATAGTATTAGAGCCGCGATGAGCCCAAAATTGATTTTAATTTTATGTTTAGTATATGGATTTTTAAATTACAGGATAAAAAACAATCAAATATTTTTTATAATATTTAAATGATTAAAATTTCATAAAGGAACGTCATCTTAATGACTCGAAGTGTTCCAATAAATTTCTACAATTATGTACTTGCGCAAAAGACACGAATGCATGGCTCCTAACTTGTTTCAATGAGAAGAGAAAAAAAGCTTTAAAAACCTCTGGACACTTCCTATTGGCCTAAACAGGCTAAACTCGCGAAATACGGCAGCTACAGTATAAAGCCTAGGTTACACGTGTGATTTTTTTCTCGCGCCGGAAACGCAAAGGGTCAAATTTCAGTGCGTTACCGGTGCGAGACACGAAATCGCACGTGTAACCCTAGCTTAATAAGGCCGTCAAGGAAAATGCAACAAGATATTTGTGGACTGTAGTCGTAGGTTGTGTTATAAGAAGTTATTGTTACTTTTTATAGGTCAAGGCAGAGTCCCAGCCTGTGATACTTGTCGGAGGTGGTAGTGTTCTCGTTGATGTTACAAAGTCATTACAAGGAGCATCAGCTGTAATGAAGCCAGAACATTTTGAGGTATGCATGTGATGTAAAATGGGATTTTTGGTTTGTATGAACAGGGCTCAGAATAATGGGCGGTAGGTCTCTGGTCATTAATACATACATAAACTTTTAATGCGCCTAAACTAACAGTGAAACAAATAACGTCAATGTCTGTCCGTATGTGAAATTGGTGCTAAAAGTGGGTTACAACCTGTCCTTAAGAGTTAAGTTATATTCATGTTCGTTAGTTCCACAAATAAATCTTTTTCATGAGTGATTTTCTAAATTCTGTATATTATTATATTCTTTGCGTGTCAAAAAGTTCCTTCTTGGTTCGAACGACTCTGGTGTTTCCTCGGTAAACCAATAATATCTACTCTTTCGATATCTTCCTTTAGGCAGTGTGGTAAACCAGCCCAAATTGATGCCGCATATTCCAGAATGGGCCTTATCGTTGTGCAGTAGGTTGTAAGTCTTATATTTCTCGGGAGATTTGCTTTCCTGCAGGCCCTCACGAAATAAATTATTTTACTTGCCTTCGTAACGATATCTTGTAACTGATTTCCATTTAAGGTTATTCTGTCTGGTAACTCCAAGGAGCTTGAATTTTGTAACTCTTTCGATCGTTTCATTGCCTATACTAATGTTTGGAGGGGCTGGGCATGATCTCGTCAATCCTATCCACATATCTTTTGTCTTGTCAGTGTTCAACTCTATTTTGTTTTGAATGGCCCAGTCCTTCAGAGAATTTACTGCTTCCTGCACTTTGCTGTTTTGTCCAATAGAGACAAGTTCGTATTGGCTACAATCGTCAACATACTTGCATGTGACTGTTAATAGTTCATTTGGAATACAATTTCCCATGTCATTGATATAAATGTTAAATAACATATAGGGGAGATAACCGTGCCTTGAGGGACACCAGCTGGTATTGCTTCCGCTCTAGATAGGACATTTAAGAATTTAACTTGCTGTGTCCGATTGGCCAAAAAGCTCACTATAGCCAGAATGATTTATTGACCCCTATATTTCCCAGCTTCGTCAGGAGAATCTGATGATCGAAAAGGTCGAACGCTTTCCGAAAGTTTATAAACAGCGCATGTAAACCACCGTTTGGGCTGCCTTGACCTGTGGCATCGTACCAATCTTGAGTCATGCTGGTCACAATGCGCTGACTGTGGATCTAGCCATCATAAATGCATGCTGGTTTGCTTTAATATCAAGATCTGCTTGATTTTGCAGTAGTTGTATCTTCTCCAGGACTTTGGCAACTTGCGGTATTACTGAAATCTGCCTGAAATCGGTACCTAAATTCCTAGGATCTTTCACTTTCGGAACGGGAGAGATGAGAGCATGTTTGTAGATGCTTGGATATTTGCATTGGAGGATATTGGCGCAGATAATTTCGTGAATACTCGGAGCTAATTCTTCGTGGAAGCAACTTTAGTACTCATGCAGATATAGCATCGAGGCCAGTTGCCTTTTTTGGATTTAAACGCTTTTAATATTGTCCTTACTTGTACAATGCGGTAATAGCGGTTCGTGATCTATAGTTTCTGCATAAAAAAAACCTAGGTAACAAATCTATGTAGGTAAGGAGGACAGGTACCACTTGAAACTAAAATGTTTGAAATTTTGTAAATTTTGTTGCAAACACAACAGACACTCTCAATACTACTAGAAATGCATGCATGCCGTAACCTCTAACCCTTTCTATTAAAAAAACAACTTGAGTAATCATCAGTTCTGATAATATTTTCTCGAATCCCCCTCGCTCCCTTATAAATGATAAAAATCCACCATTCAGTTGTAAATTTCAGTGTGAGTGAACACTGAACAGTTGTTTAAATTCAGGTTGCGAATGCTGTTGGTGCAGCGTTAAGCCAAGTGAGTGGTGTTGTTGATCATGTTGTTGACATAAGCACAATAACTCGCGAGAAGGCTCTAGCAGATGGGCAATCTCTTGCTATAACGAGAGCAATAGACAATGGCGCTCAAGCCGAAACTGTCGCAATAGTAGAGAAATCTGAAACTCAATTGGCGTACTTAAAAGGTGGAGCAACTCGTGTCCAGGTTAAAGCTGTGGGAGATTTAGCTGTAGGTAAGATAAAAGAAATGCCTAGTTTTAAGACGAAATGTGCTTGTGTAGTCCCGCAGAAGCCTAAAATATGCGATACTGATGGTTAGCTTTGGCACCAACCGTAGACAAGTATAAGTTAGCAATCATCTTGGGGGTGGAAGGGTCAGTTTCGGGTAAATGAACGGTAATCCAAACCCACAAGCCAATATTTCCTGTCGAAGGTGACCGAAGTACTTGAAGAAAACCCACGACGTTCGGTAGAGCGTTGACTGAGGCTACGTTTACATTTTATCAGATAGCTTTTCGTAGCGGCGCGAAAAAGCACCTACTGTATCCGATACGAAATGTACAACTTTCAGAAACTGGGCAAAACAACATCTCTCTGTTGCAACAATTCCTCTGAAAATAGCGTTCCTAAAAGGTACAGATAAGTCTTTTTTTACGTCGCTACGGAAAGCTATCCGGTACAAGTGTAAACGTAGCCTGACATTTTCATATAAGTAGGATAGGATAGGATAGGATAAAACTTTATTTGACTACGCTGGCCACTTCAACCATAGCTGCTTTCCAAGTGGGGCGTAGATAAATGTTACAAAAATATATAAAATACAAAATCACTAAGAATATTAAGAACTACGAATACAAATACATATTACAAAACAAATGGTATACAAAACTCAAATAGCTAATTTGTCAGACTAACAGAGGAAATATTTCTATTGAAAGAATTTAAAGATTCGCTGTTTCTTATTTGTTCAGGAATGCTATTCCAGATTTTAACCCCACTATATCGAAAACATTTTCTGCCATACTCGGTATTTGGTCGTGGCAGAAAGAGAGACGAATTTGAACCTCGTAAATTATAACTGTGGATATGGTTAGAATTCTGGAACATTGATGAGAACCTCGATGGTGCCAAATTATTGACAACCTTAAACATGAGACGGGCCATATTATGTTTTTGCCTTTCTTCCAAGCTTATCCACCCTAATTGATCGAGGGCCAGTTGAGATTGCCCAGGCTCATCTTTAAAGTTCATTATAATTCTAGCACATCTGTTGTGAAGTTTATAATTCTAGCACATCTGTTGTGAAGTGTCATGCGACCGCAACGCGATCGAATCGACCCCACGATCTATCTTAGGGCTTTTTTCCACTCATCGCAAAACCCAACTCATAAGCTCGCTCCGAGTGTTTGCATCCAATCACACTGAACTGTTGAGCACTGTGATTGGTTGAAAGCACTCAGCTGGCTTGCGAGTTCACTCTCGCGATAAATGGAAAACGATTGCGCCTCCGAAGACCTAAGTCTCTGTATCCTCCTAATCTTGAACTGATTAATTATCAAGATTGGTGTTGTGTTTAGATGACATAGGTGATCAATTCCATTGCATACCTTCTGCAAGTTCAAAAGAAGGTAATAAACATGAAGTTTGTGAAGAAATTGATCGCGAGGAACCGTCTTTGGGTGAAGGTAAAGCTAGAGGAGGAGAAGAGGTCAGAAGACCTTTAACTGTGAATAATGTGAATCCGTATGTTGAAGAATCGAGTGGGGCATGGTTGTTGAATGAGTATGATGTGAATTGTATTGCGACAGGAGCTGGAATATTGTCTTGTGGTGGCGGTGGGAATCCTTACCTTGGTAAACTGACTGCGATTTTAACTTTGCAATCCGGGAAAGAAATACGAGTAATTCATCCAGATAGGTATGTGAAATGTTTATATAATATGTGAAATTCAAATATTGGAATCCATTTCACTATCTTTAACAATGGCAAGAGCTTGATATTTGGCATAATCAAACTTGGTGGTCTTGTTACAGTATAGCATCACATTTCCCAGATCATTGACACAATTGTAGTAGACGTCTAGGGAGTCAAGACCCGCGTGTTATATTGATATTTTACATAAATATTGATATTTTACATACATACACTCTACCGAAAGTCGTGGGTTTTCTCCAAGAACTCCGGTTTCCTCTCACAGGAATGTTGACAGGGTGGGTTGGGAACTTGGGATGATTCCCAAACTGACCGCTCCACCGTTGCTATGCTTCGTGATCCAACGTGAGTCATAAGGCCATCTGCCATAGGCGCCCTTCGAATGCCTTCGACTCGATCAGGTTGAGCACTTGAGCTGCGTTCTTCATAATTCAACTTTGTTACCTCTCAGCAGCAAGAACAGGTGGGCAATTTGTCGACGCTGACCAAAAATAGCGGCTCATTTCTTCTTGAGTTGTCATTTTTGCGTCGAAGAGCAAAAATATAGACTTTCGGATAATATTTTAGCTGTTTACTATCAAATATGTTTGTCAAACAGTTGATAATCTTACTGAGGAAGGCCAACAGTTTCTGAAAAGCTAAAGTACGTCGAAATCAGCTTTGGAATAGACTATATTCTAACCGGGGAAACATGAACTAAATGGATATTTTACATCAACACTAAATTTTGCTCGTTCCCACGGAGCTAGTTGGATTAAAACAGATGTTAAGAAGTAAGTGAAAATGTGAATTTTGTGAATTATACTTTCATTAAAATGTTTCAGAAGGTCTGCTAATGCCAAACGACACGGGTAACAGAGCTGTCAATATACTCATATTTCAATGTTTATGTTGAAATGACCCATCTTCTTTGAGGTATAGCTTAAAAATTAGGGCATGCTCATCACTTGAAACTAGCTTTAAATCAAAGTTTTATCTATAGTCTTTTTATTAGAATTAAAATCATTCATGGGAAAAATGTGCCAAAGGGTTGAAATTGCCCTTGTAAATATACACTATTTTTGACATGTTTGGGTTAGTATTTTGAATAGGTGCTCTGGAAGGGAAATATGTCTTGAACAATACTGGTTGACCCTTAAATTATAACTAGTGTTATGTAAATCACAGAAAATTTAAAAAAATCTGGTCCATACACAATAGTTTGGATTCTACGAGGTCCCGAATGCGGCTTATTTCAATGTTGAATCTGTTTACCTGGAAAAACATAGAAAATTGAATAAGTCAAGAATTTGACTATGCTCATCACCCAAAACCAGGTTTTTCTAATTGCTTTTTCACATGAGTTTGTGGCAATACCAGTTATGCGACCACGAAAAATGCGCGCGGCACTTTTTTTGGACACTGAAGATGTGGCGACATTTGATATTGTTGTATATTGCCATCCTCTTATCATAGCATAACTTAACTTATTTTAGTGAGTTTGTTAATTAATTAAAGAATTGTGGTCACTATATGCCTGTAGTGTCTAAGATTTTTTCATAGCATTAGATGATAAATTTATGTTCTGTTTTCTTTTATTTTTAGGTGATAGTATCTGTTCACATGTGTGTTGGTATCAAATTTTGCACAAGATTAAATTATTATTTCACATTCCTCTATTGAAATATCCAAATAAATGGAATATGACATCAAGCTGGAGGACTAAATCCTGTTTCCAAACTTGTTTTTGTAAAAATAGAAAATAACAACTTATTATGTGTTGTTCTAATAAAAAGTATTGTTTTTGATATGCACATTTAATTTTTGAAATTACATTTCATTCTTTGTTAAGGTGGCTCGATATAGTTATTACGAAAACCCTGCTCAAGAATCGCGAACTCAAAACCGGGTAACCATTTTTACGCGCAGTCGCGGAAACTGATTAACAAAATGAAAGAACTTCCAAAATGACCTGACGTGAGCAGTTGCTCGCGCCATATCACGCCATTGCACGTGTTCTGTAGCATTTTATGTCAATTGCTGACGTCATTAGAATTTTCCATTTTAGAAAAACAATGCGCTATATCTCTTTATTTTGTCTGGTGACCTATGTTCAAATTTTGCATGCTGTATTGCACCGCTAAAAACTTTCATTATACAAAAAATAAAAAAATTCTGTAATGCCAAAAAAAAATTACCGAAGAATATGACATTTTCGCATTTTCAAAAAAAATGGCATTACAGAATTTTTTATATTTTGCCAATTGTTAGCTTTTCGTCCAAGTAAAATAATGCACGAAAAAAAAATGGGGGTCACCATGCTTTTTCCAAATATACGAGACGATAGGCCATTTTGGAGTGAATTTCGTACACCTGAATTTTTGAAAACTGTATCGAGCCACCTTAAAATGTGTACCAGGAATACTGAAATCTTTCAGATCAGCTAACAATACCTTTGTAACTTATATAGCCAAGTGTTCTATCTATTTCTGTTCAGATTAAACAAATGATGGGTAAAATATTGGATTAGACTTTTGCAAGAAAATGAGCTTGTCTGTTTTCAAAGCATAAAAAGCAATAAAATAAAGCAAAAGTACTTATTTTCACTGTAAAATCTTTGGAATGCATAGCTTAATGTTTTCCACTAAATATTACAAAGTTTTCGTTCATTAAAATGTTGTTTTATCAGCTTTAAAACCAGATAAATTCACGAAACACTCCTAATATATGTCGCCATATTGATTTTCTTCGCGCATGCTCAGACAAATTGCCCACCTGTTAGCAGCAAGTGATATTTCAAATCCGACTATGAGGACTGGACTGGATTTCAAGTCCGCGCAATTCGATCCAGTCCAAGGTGAAGCCGAGGACTGGGTCAAAATGCAAGAACTTGTAATCTAGTACAGTCCGAATTGGAGGATTTGGAATGACATCTCATACGAATAAGTCACTACTTAAAGTGAGGTGAGTTAATTACCATGCAGGTATCCAGTATTATCATGTGAGCAAAATAAAGTATATGGCTGCTAATTTACTCATGAATTGTTGTGTTTGAGATGTATGGATGATTAGCACTACCTCACTTGCTTGCTTATTAAAGAGAGTAATCTTTGATGCTCAACATCTTTACAAGTGAAACATTTTCTATATTTCATTTTAGTGTGCCAAAGAACGGTCTCATTTTGCCAGTGGCGTTCATGGGAGCTCCGTCAGTTATAATTGAAAAATTAATTGGCGGTGATGAACTGCAACTAGCGGCCGAAAAAATGCAAGAATTGCTGATTTGTGACGAGAAAGACATCGAAATTTCCGAATCAGCACGAGGAGTTAAGTATGTGACGCATTTGCCGGAGCTTCAGTCGACTGTGGTAAGGAACTAGTGACGTGTTGTCGAATAATGCTTTTTGCTCTGTTTATTCACGGTGCTCACTGCAATTATATACACAAATCACGAAATTCGGGCAAGAATCACAGTTAAAGAAAAATGCGTATTTAAGTATTCAAATGTTCCCACGTGCACTCATGGTTACATATCACTACAATACAACACGAATGCATGAGTGAACATTTCAATACCTTAATGCGCATATTTTGAATCATCCAGTCACAGCTACATGTTTTTCTTTGAATTCGGGCTTTGCCCGACTCAGAACGCGTCATTTGGATGCGCAATCGAATTTCGCCATTCGTGTATAGCATATATAGTTGGTAAACAGGGATCCTTAAATCTCAAATCATTAATACTTCATGAGTAAATTAGCCAACCATATTGCTTTATTTTGCTCACATAACAATACTGAATACCTAGTGAAGTATATTGATCCAATCCTAGGACTAAAAACGAATTCAGTCCTTGGACTGGATCAAAATGAATTCACCTACCTTTAAGTATAGTGATTTATTCGTAGGAGATGTCGTTTCAAGTCCTCCGATTCGAACTGGACTAGATTTCAAGTCATCGCATTTTCATCCAGTCCTCGGCTTCGCCTCCGACTTGAAATCTACAGTAGTCCAGTCTTCATAGTCGGTGTAGTGAACAGCTATAAATAGTCATTCTGAACAATACCGTATATGGATAATATATATTTATACCTAAACATATGGAAGGGATATATTTCAAGTTGTGAGACACGCAAGCTGTCTCAAATAGAACATATAAAATATAAAAGCAAGAAAATATTATGTTGGCGACGAAGATGGTTGACCAGCCAACTGAGCAAGCTGAGCAACAAAGAGAATATTATAGTCGGATTTAAAGTATTACTTAATTCATATAGGTTTGACCTTCTGGATCTTCTGTATTCCAACATGAAAAACAAATTTGTTGTGTTGTGTTAGAATACAATTCAAGTTAACCACTTTTCAAGGCTCCAGTGCAACGTGCCGCAACCTCGTTCCCAGGGCCTTTTCTCTGCCGGTTGTTCTAAAACCCGTTCTGCTCTAAATGTGAAAGATAACATTTGTTGAAAATGTAAAAATATTCCAGTGTTTTTCAAAAAATTGTAACATGTATAAAATAAGATAAAAACTTTATTTCACGAGGGTAACACCTTATAAGATTGATAAAAGTGTATATGATAAAAGCGACCACCGTTTTCTAATATTCAGGTTTAGACTATTTCAAAGTCATTGCCGACGTATGGATCATTCGATTAGACTTCACCTTCAAGGACAATTATTTATCAACTTTAGGAGAATAGACTCAGACTTTAATATTAGTATTTTAATATTAGTGTAAATATGTCTGTCGAATTGGACGAGACCATAAAGGTCTTTGGTTTCACCAAAATGTTCTGGTTATTTTCCTATGTTTTTCACACGTAATGAGCTTGGATCATTAAACAAACTTATATATACAGCTAATTCAATTAACACTGTCCTCTAAAGGTATAAACTAACAACTGCAACTCAGTGAACTCACATCCTTTAATTTGTCTAAAAATTGTTCCGGCATCGTCGTTGCACGTTTCGTACAGGGTTGGTAAGTTAGATGAATAATTAGGCCAAATCGTCATTAGTGCCGTTTAGAAAACAAAGAAAACAAAGGCCTATAGTGTGACGGTGTTTGGCTTAATTATTCAGTAAACCTACCAACCCTGGTTTCGTATCAGCTATCCCTATATTGGACGATGACTTCATTATACGAAAATGCAATGTGCTCAATCACCGTGACCGTGCACAAATTAACATAAACTCCGACAAAAACATAATGCAATGACATTACATAAAATTATCTTGATAGACTATGTTTGCCATAAAAGAACAATCTAAATTTTTTGTTTGAACTTGTAAGCCGATCTAAGCCAGTTTTCCACTTCGATCGTACCGAAACGTACCGTATTTCTTTGTTTCCGAGCACTGGTGGAAGTGGAACTAATGACTTCCACACAAAATTAAAGAAAATGCTACGGTACATTACGATAAGGTTAAAGTGGAAAACAGGCTTTAAAGTCGATGTTTCGCGGTTTCGAGTTTTGATTCGCTGGGACTATGGAAATAAGCAACTTTCAAAAATCCGTGTTGTAAAAGTATACCACTAAAGAAAAGCGCGTTTGCATCGTATTAAATTGCAATGGGGTTGATACTGATCGTGTCTAGTCGCCTGGGCAGAGGTGCCCCAGCGACTAATTAGCTGTAGAGCAATGTTATTAAATATGACAGTTGAATTAAATATGACAACATGTTAATTGACTTCAACTTACATTGCCATGAATCAGGTTTTCAACGTTTTTGTAATATGTCATTTTCAGATTCCCGACGACAGGAAAATTGTTGGGTTAATGAGCGCGGAAATTGGTGGAATGAATTCAATTGAGCCTTTAATATTGGGGGCGAAACTTGGGCTACCTGTTTTGGATTGTGATGGCATGGGTCGAGCTTTTCCCGAGCTGGATATGTTTCTCCCACATATCCATGGATTACCCTCATGTCCTTCTGTGATCGTTGGTTCCAGGAAGTCTAGTGAAGCGATGACGTATGCCGCAACGGCAAAGGATTTAGAGAATGATTTGCGAGAGCTGATTGTTTCAAAAATGGGGTAAAGTAGCACTAATATAGCGTTATTTATACTGGATAACTCTATCAGATTATGATGCTTGTGATGTTACTCTGAGTGTATATCCACACCGGGCAAGCTTGCAATATATGCCTGGCCACGGTGGGAATCGAACCTACGACCTTTGGAATACTAGCCCACCGTGGCCAGGCATATATTGCAAGCTTGCCCGGTGTGGATATACACTCAGAGTAACATCACAAGCATCATACTCACCTGAATACATTACACCAACACAGAAAAAAACTATCAGATGTTATTACATGATGCGCATGTATTAACGAATATTGAACAAAAATGTACATAACTGCGAGTTTTATTAACAGGTTTTGTCCACGATTGTCTGACCTGTAATGACTGATATGTCCATAATTTCGAACGCTTGAAAAGCGGTTAAGGGTACTGGAATGATGTACTAAGGTTCATATGACGTTAGTATTACATCATAAATGTTGTACCAATTACATGTAATTATTGTACAATTAATGACGTCATAGACATCCAGTGTATAGTGCTAAAAATTGTATTAAACATGGTGTTTACTGGAAAGTTTTCAGCAGAAAAGAGAGCATACATAAAACTAGTGGGGAAAACTGGAATGCGTACAGCGAAACAAGTTGCAGAAGAATGCGGAGTGTCTTTGCCAAGTGTATATAGAATATGGAATGAGAAATTTAAAAAGGATTTCAAACAAAAGCAGAAAAACGAAAGAGGTGGTGGCAGGCCTGAGAAACTGACTTTAAGACAAAAACGCTCTGTTCTGCGAAATATTAATATTTTAAGAGAGGAAAATAGCAATTTTACTTCTAAAAAATTGCTTCTCAACTCAGGAATAAACCCAAAGGATATTTCTTCACGCACATTGCGGCGTTTTTTGAATAAAAATGGATACCATTATCTGCAAGCAAGGAAAAAAGGAATATTAAGTAAGACTGATATTCGAAAGCGATATAACTTTGCAAAAATTATGAAAAAGGATTACAGCAGTGAGGTTTGGACAAAGCAAATAGCGTTTTATCTGGATGGAGTTAGCTTCACACACAAAACAAATCCAGCGGACGAGGCCAGAGCACCAAAAGGCAGAATCTGGAGGAAACCTAATGAAGGCATGGATAGAGGATGCACGGCCAAGGGCAGTCACGAAGGATCTGGGGGGAAGCTTGTCAAAATGATGGTTGCAATAAGCCATGGGGCAGGCGTTGTGCTATGCGATCAGTATAATAAGTTAGACAGGCCGTATTTTAAAGATCTGGTGCTCAGAGAATTTCCCCAAATGTTCAAAAAGGCACGAAAAGGTCGCTCTCGTCTCTGGCTGCAGGATGGAGATCCTAGTCAAAATAGTGCAGCGGCGAAAACGGCAATGAAATCCATACGAGCAAAATTACTATCAATACCGGCACGTAGTCCAGATCTAAACCCGATCGAAAATCTATTTCACCTCGTTAAAAATCAACTGAACAATAATGCAATTGTACAAAATATAAAGAAAGAAAATTTTCAAGAATTTTCCGCACGAGTACAATCTACGATACTCAGTTTTGATAACATTGTAATTGACAAAATCATTGAAAGCATGAATAATCGCATTGAACTTGTTGTAAATAGAAAAGGGAAGAGAATTCGATATTGACTTAATATAATAAATTTTATTAATGCATACTGCTTGTGAAATATACAGTTAATTAATTAATATGCGTGTAAGCTGCAGAAAGTTCTGTTCCAAATAATCGGTTATTTCTTATTTCATGAAGCTATATATAATTCGCATGTGAATAAACTTACAGCATGGTAGTTTTAACGTATTTTACACGAATCAAACTGCTGTCGGAGCGCTGGCATGAGAGCATTGAAATATTTGCCCGACATCGACTTAATTAATTTTGTCATATTAAACTCACGGTTAACCACGGTCAACCAGAATAGTGTGTTAGAATTTTCCCTTAATATACATAGTTTTATTTTCCAACCTTCATGTTCCCATAGCTTTATAGTATTTTGTCAATCAAAGAAAGCAAACCCATAATCTAAAACACTTGAAAACGCATATTTTGTAGCTGTTCATGATGTTTAAACGAAAATTGCATAAAGTAAACAAAGTATGATCTGTGTTTAATTCTAGTGGTTAACCGTCATTATCCGTCGTATTTTAGCCAAATCCAGGCAAGATATAACACTTAATTTGACGTTACCTGCAGATAATAAAGCATATATACCAGCTTGGATAAAGCAAAGTATATAAAAGTATTATTTCAGTGTTTCTAATGCAATTTTAGAGAATGGTTAACCGTGGTTAACCGTGGTCTAATAATATGCATGCGACGTCATTCTTACAAATCTATTTTTAGGTTATTAATAGTAATATAAATCTGAGACAAACAACCTAATTATATAATGTTAATTTCTTGAAAGTATTAAGCTATTTATTTTGCAACATCAATAGAAACTAGATCCAATTTCATGTTCCAATAATGTAAACAATTATTTTTAGTGTTTTCATCAATACACATGTATGTTGAGGAACATTGCTGGCCGAATGGACGTGCGCTTTCTTGTGGAACACTTCACAGACAATCGTGGACAAAACTGTTAATAAAACTAATTAATATCATAATGAAATTGCATTAACCAAATTGTATTCCACATTCTGCCCCCCTTTCCCCCATTCAATGTTGGATTCGCCATCCCCACACTATAGACCCATTACTGCAACATTGTTCCGGGGGGAGAGGGGGCCCATGTGGCGTGATGCGCATGTATTAACGAATATTGAACAAAAATGTACATAACTGCGAGTTTTATTAACAGGTTTTGTCCACGATTGTAGTTACCGTTACAGTTACTCAAAAGTAACGATTACATGTAACTAGTTACTTGTAACGAAGCACTGTATATACAACACCCAGAATCATCTTTACCACATACTAAACTGCGATTGTGTAGTAAAATGAATTTGACCCTTCGTAAGGGACTGTGGGTATAACCACCTCTAACTCAATATTCGAATTTTACAGTTGCCTTGCTGGTCTGGCATGTGCTCCGCTAACTGCCGAAGACTTGCGAAAAAATACTGTTATGTTTTCAATGAGTCGTGCATGGCGTCTTGGGAATGCTGTGAAGCTGGCTCAAAAAGAAAAACGATGTCCAGTCGATGCTGTACTAGAATCACAAAACGGAAAATTGCTTATATCTGGAAAGGTATGTGTCACCGTTTTCTGTAGATAGTATAAACTACGAATAACTAGAACAAGCAAGTAATTATCCAAAATGTGTTTTGCACCGTTAATATGCATCAAACTGGATATCATCATGAAAGGAAAGGCTTGCATCAAGTAAAACCTCAACGACTTCGGCAGTGGGCTGAAGTAAGTTCCTTACCTAAACGAAAATTTCGGGTCTTGTTGACTACCAAAAATGAATTTAGCATTATTTAACAATTATTCGCCGAAGGCGAGGTGATTATCGGTGAATAAAAACCGAGACGAAGTCGAGGTTTTTATTCACGATAATCACCGAGCCTGAGGTGAATAATTGTTTTAGTATAATTTCATAGGTGATTATTTGGAAAAAAAATAAGAAAATACACATTTCTTCGTCATTTAATTGACAAAAGACACAAAAAGGCTTCGGCCGCCATTTTGAAAATCGCTTAGGTGATTATCGCGTAATAATCACCTCAACGGCAACCAATCAGCGTGGAAAATTTTCAATAATCACCTATGTAATTATACTAATTAGAATTAATGCATTTTAAATTACTTTTATTTGCAATTAGAAGGGACAAGCGTCAAAACCCCAGTGCACAAATCCTGCACAGGTCATTATACATTTCTTTTACTGCGGTGGAACACTGTCCAATAGGAAATTTAATAAATAACCTGGAACGATGTTATGGAACTATAAGTATTTGGCTTGAAAGTGCGGGGGTTGCTACATGTATATATCAAAATTTTGGGCATCGCTCGATATAGAACTAAACATTAAAGGGTTTTGGTGGATACATGCCGAAACCTCAAGTGTAAATGTTTATACATTTTTAGACTGCATGCATGTGGTTGAATATTTAATGACATGACTTTCGCGTGCCCTTATTATTTATTGCTTATGGTGACCTTTGTTCTGCACACTCTCCTCCACAGAGTCTAAAATTATTTATTATGGTTTAAATCCCTATTCTGTGGTTTAATCCCTATTCTGTGGTTTAAAATATATTGTAGTGGTAACTTAGGGATAGCATAGCATGTACTTATTAATTCCTGGTTAGGACCATTTTCTAATGCCAGAAAGCTCCGGATTTAACTACTATACTTGAAAAATAAAAATAAGTAAAACTAAGGTTTATATCAAGTTTATACAATTTTCTAATATTCTTAACAATTTTTTTGACCCTTTAATTTTGTTTTGCACGTTGGATTGTGTAGGCATTGCCGAAAACTTGCGTTTTGTTGGGACACAGTGAACGGATAAAACGTATACATCACCATTTCTTTTTTTTTGAAAACATTATCCCCTCCCCCGACTCACCGGTAAACAATTAGGAAGCCCATGCAAAGCTCGAATTGTATGCACGGCCCAACGTTTGGACATTAGCCCCAGTCTGGTGTCTTCATCATGGGTCATCTTCAGTCGCAATGTGGCTTCATATATACTCGAGAGATGACGTAACCCGCAAACAAGGGTAGAGATACTCTTGTGATGCATAACTACCGTCATCTCTATTCAGAAACAATTCATAGTCATCCATTTCAATATTCAACTCTTCTACACGGCTAAAAACGCTGAGCCCGCTGTTTAACAGGATTGAACAATGTTTTGCTGCCCACGTTGTTCACATGCACTTGTCAACAATACCGAATAATACTGTTGAGCCTGAATCGGGTGTAACAATATTGTTCAATATTGTTGACAACTGTGAACAATGTGGGCAGCAAGACATCGTTCAATCCTGTTTTCATCAATATTGCAACAACATGATCGTTTTTACGCGTGTAGACAACGTCTTTGGCCATGGCGATTGTTTGTGGTGATCACTCCCATGCAGTCACGTGTTTGGCTTAACACACGTTCTGCTATAGAAGAAGAAGAAGAATTTATTCGCACCAGTCAAAAATACATAATTACAAATTTTTTCCACACATTATTAAAACAGAGTTGGCACAGGATATCTGAAGTAGCTTTAACACTAATCGAAGTCAGATAACCTTATTAAAGTATTCGAGCCACTGTGGGTCAACATTGGGTTTAAGGTCATGGTGCACAATAATTATACAGATACAAATTAAAATTTATAGACATATGCAAAAACAAAAGCAAGCATAAAGCCAGTAACCATTAATTATAAATTTGATTTCAGTTAATTTGAAAGCAAATTAAAACATAAATAAGAATAATTATTTATGTAATTATTTATTTTAATAAATTTGATTTTAATTTTTTTTTTGAAAACTGATTTTGTTAGTATTTTCAAGCTATCATCTATATAATTCCAAATATAGGGTCCCTGTGATCGGATAGAAAATTTACCGGTATTTGTTCTTACAATTGGTATGCAATAACTAATTGTTGTTGCTAGTCTAGTACTGTATATAAGGCTGTTTTCCTTTTGTTTAACTACTGTATTACGTCAAAACTTTGTCATAGGTTAATTTATTTACTGTTTTTTTAGATAGTTGACGTTGAAAGAAGAACGGATGGTGGTTTCAGTAAAGGCAATGTTCGTGTGGAAGGTTTAGCTCAATTTTCTGGTATCACATTAGATATCTTGTTTCAAAATGAAAATATCGTGGTTGAAAATGCTACGTCTGGTGAGAAGAAAGAAGTACTAGCCACTGTTCCAGATCTCATTTCTATCCTTGATTCGGAAACTGGCGAAGTCATTCCAACTGAAGAAATACGTTATGGCCTTCGAATTTCTGTCATTGTTTTGCCTTGTTCACCATTGATGTCCACGGAGAGAGCATTGAAAGTTGTTGGACCACAAGCCTTTGGTTATAAGGACTACAGTTATCACGCTTGTGAAGTTTACAAGGAATCCAACCCTATTCCTTTAACGAAATCATAAGTTTTATATTTAAATTGAACTATTTTTTATTTTACCTTAATTTGCTGTTTTTCAATTTTACAATTTCTTGCAGCACGTAAAGAAATTATTTAGTATGGAGCATACCAAGTTTCATCAGGGATGAATAACATTTAGCATCAGTAAACTACATTTTGTTTTTGACCTCCATTGGAGGTGAAGACTAAATTTGGTTTGCCCATCCTAAATGTTGTTTGTTCCTGATGAAACTTAGGATCTACAACTACAAATTTTTGCTTTCAAAGGAGATTTTGGGAATAAATAAAAAATAGTTTTAGTCAAGTGACCAGTGACATAATTTCTGTTCTCATTCAAAGCAGTGTGAAAATAATAAAATATTGAAAAACCTTCCGTATAATACTAAAGAATTAAAAGAATTTAAAATTATCCTGCGATTATTGGATGCAACTATGCAATTGAAACTGTCGATATTTCTAGGTTGACAACGTAAGTCAAACGAAAATGGCGTCAAATTTTTTATACTTGTATTGTCTTCTGTCTTTCATCTGCAAATTACTGAATTATTCAGGAGCCTACGGCGGGCCACGTCGAAATATTTCAGTAGTTACCAAAAATATTTTTTGGAAAAACCATTAATATATTCCTGCACAAGCTTGCCCAAAACATGATCTATTTTATTCCGAATATAACGCATTTTGCGTTATAATCAGTAACCTTCAAATAACTTTAGCGTGATTTGCATACAGTTTTAGAGTTGAAAATTCTGTCGTTACAACGATCGGAAATTGCGGTCAAAAATTGACACCTTAGACTAAGCAGTTAAATGACTAACTAATCTTACTGAGCATGCGTAGATTGGACAATCCTACTGAATATTAATGTGGCAAACTACAGAATATTTTTTGAGATATAGTTGGCAAAGTTTTGGATTTATTCGTGAAACTTTATTGAGGTAAAGGACTTGGATAAAGGAAAGGCTCAAAGCCCAAAACAATATTACGTGACTCAAGAATATGAAAAACACTTTGTTGTACATATGTGTCATAGGCGTACGGGCCCCCGAATTTTTATGGTAGATTGTAATGAAATGACGCGAATTTAATATATTTTCCAATAAATCTTCCAGAATTTTCTTGATTTTTTCTACAATCATGGCAAGAATTCCGTGGACACCCCAGGTGTAAACTAAAGTATTACTGTTGGCATACACTTGTTGGCGTCTTTGTCTCCCCCCCCCCCCCCCCCCCCCTACAATGTTGGTCTTGACATACATTTCACAAAGCTTTCACCTAACCAAATATTCCAAAGGTTGTAGGTTCGATTCCCGTCGTGGCCGGGCATATTTTTCAAGCTCGCCCGGTGTGGATATACACTCAGTCAGAGTAACACCACAAACATCATTGATTCACCTGAGTACACAACACCAGCACAGAAAAAATCATTATATACAAGATTACATTGGTATCGACGGAACTAGATTCTGTTCCGAAATATCACTTACTCGAACCGACCTGACCGCGTATTAGGCTGTTTATTCGTCTGCCAAATTTGTGGGGACATTTTGTTGTTAGAGGGTCCTGAAGGGGTAAAATGGGAACTGGGGTTTGCCTAATTTTAGACTGGGAAAATGGATTTGGGTTACTGGGGCAGTGGGACTGGGAATAGGAAAACCCATATGCCATTATAAAGACAGTTGTAGTTGGACATTTCAGAGTTAAAATAACTTCAAGGAAAGCTAATGAGCAACAGTTTTGATTCAGAGTTTGTCAAAAAATGCCCTGAGAACTAGACTGCCTTTTTCTGACTCGAGGTTATTTTTCTGCTATCGCGAGTCACTTACTAATTTTGTGACAGAAGAATTACCGGTATTTATAGGCTTTAAGAGGGCGTCTCTATAAGAGCGGACCACTCGATCTGGGCTTCAAAGATAGCTTTCTCTTATATTTCTACCGTCGATACTCTCATCTATCCTAACTACGAAACTGGAGTTAAGATCGTTCAAACGTGGTTTTTACAACCGCTATGCAAGTTTTTGTCCCAGGACCTAAGTTAATTAAAATATGCCAGTTTCTGAAATCGCCAAAGCCTACAATCACAGTCAGCTTTTTCTATTTTCTCTGCTAATCAGAGCTTCGTTTTCGGGTCTGAACTGCACTAGAGTGCTCTTTCTACTAAGAAACAGTAATATATAGCTGTTTAGTTGCACCTGGCAAATAAAAAAATTACTAATCGGGACCCTTCAACGCATGATATCAAATTCGAGAATTATAAGTCCTAAAACATTGCAGAATTCTCATTTGTGGCACCTGCCCAGGTTCCAAATCGCTTTTAAACTTTGAAATAGGATGCTATTCCACACATCCACACAATAAAATTTGCGGCACATAGTATTTCCAAGAAATCAGGAAGTTGACAATTTTTGCATTTTTTAGCTATATTTCTGCGTGTGACACAAGAATCCAATAAGCATGCATATCAGTCCCTACATCCCTACTGTTTTGTTTACGGTCAGTATAATCTGCAGACCGCAGACTGCAGACCAAGTTGACAAAATGCAGAATAGGTATAAATTGCAGACTGAAATTGCAGACTTGGTATAAAATGCAGACTGTGAAAAAACATATATTTTAATATGTCATACTGTCACGAAGTTCAAATTATTTACAACTTCGAGTTTGCGGTTCATTGTCGATGCATGTTAATGTATATAAGCATTGTATGCTTCATATAAAAAGGTTTAGAGCGATTTTCAAAATATTTTAGTGAAAATTATTGTAAAATTTAAGCACAACAAAATCATAATATTACTGCTATACAGATAGCTATAGTCAGGCGTAAGCGGGTTTAGTACACATTTGTCGTTTAAATTCGAGGATAAATTGTTCTTTCTCAAACTTATAAAAGTCATTCACTACACAAATTTATTTTTGTGACATGGTTTGTTGTTTCTTTTAGTTTGTGTATCTGGCTCATTTTAGTTCAATATTCTTTACTCGTTAGGTATTAAATACGGTTTAAAATGTCTTAATTTTGCTTACATTTGCTATATTTAGCAGTTCTCACAACTCTCGTGACATAAAACTGACATTTGAGTCTTAGATTATATTTTGGTAAGTCGCATAATTTTGAAAACGGGTGTAATGTGTAGTTTGATACGTTTTTTTCACAGTCTGCATTTTATACCAAGTCTGCAATTTCAGTCTGCAATTTATACCTATTCTGCATTTTGTACTTGGTCTGCAGTCTGCAGTCTGCAGATTATACTGACCGGTTTTGTTTATTAGCCTCGCTCAGCTATGGCTCAGCCTAGTCACAGAGTAGAGACATACAGAGACGTAACTAGTGTACCCACTTTTTTTGTGCGCATGCTCGGCAAGTTACTAGATGCATGCATCTGATTGGATGACGACTCACTTTAAACTTGCTGAGCACGCGCAGTTGATCATTTTTCGCCCGGTCGCCTGAAAAAAAGTGGGTACATGAAAACGTAATCTTCCGCAGTGTTTACAACGGTCAGTTACGTCTCTGTATGTCTTATCTACTCTGTGGCCTAGTTCCTGGCCTTCTCGCTTCCGCCTCGTTATTTTAGGGGGAAATCGCTAAGGTTTGCAGGTTGACCGGGATAAAGCTGTATTATTTGGATACTGGGGAGAGGCGACAAAATTCAATCTCGTAACCCAATCTCGTTCCCCGAGCCTGCGATCCTTGGGAAGGAAACGAAGGCTCTGGGATAATCCTAGCCTGCGAACAGGCTCTCAAGCTGAATTGAGAGCCTGCATCGATGACTAATGAATTTGAATATCTGCGTCTCAAATCGTGACGCGAAATTCTCATTGGTCAGATGCTATAATTTATATATTTCCGCTGAGCTCTATATGTCAACTGCTGAAGCACTATGCATAAAAAACACATTAACTGATCAAATTGGTCTTGGCAGTCTTATATCAAGGCACGAAATGTTCTGTTTTGAGAAAACAGTATTTAAAACATTTGAACTTTTGCTTGAATATCTTATATTTCGAAAAACAGTATAAACTGTACGGTCTGTATTGTCTAAATTTAGTTTGCACGGTCTAAATTTAGTTTGCACGAAAGTTGTAAACAACACCATATAAGGATAGACATTCCATATTTGGAAAAACGAACGTTACGGGGCAGATATTCAAATTCATTAGTCATCGATGCAGGCTCTCAATTCAGCCTGAGAGCCTGTTCGCAGGCTAGGATAATCCGAATCAAACATACAGAAAACTGTATGTCGACCGAACTGCGCATGCGTTGGCAAAAGCAAAACAAATTGTTTGAAATATTTTATTGTTTCGTCTATAAAATGATGATTTTTTCGGGGTTTTGGTGGAAATGTTGATGTTCTTCATAGTGGGATACAAAAGGTGTGTTAGCGACTGAATAAGGAAAAGATTGCGTGTGAAACAGGGTCAGTATAGAGCCGGCAGGAGCCGCGAAGAGTGCTGTTGTCGAAGCAAAATGTCACAATTAATTGTGTCATCTTGTCCATTGAAAAAGCTTTAAAATGTAGAGACATTTGTGGTTCCTCCAGCATAATTTAGCCGTTTAACGCTATTATGTTTCTAATGGTTGAAAGAGCGCGTGGAAAGGGCAATTTTTAAGAACAAAAACAATTACAATGTACTATGTGTTAATTGCTACTGTAGTATTAAAATACCTGAAGAGAGTCTCAATTCTAATATTAAGTTGGTTATAAACCTTGATAATATTAAGTTGGTTATAAACCTTGATAATATTAAAGTTTTCAGAAGATTTGTAGGAATATTAAAAGGAATTTAGACTTATAAAACATATTAAAAATATGAATATAGTGAATATTCCATGTTTGTATTGTGTTTAATATCATCTCTAGAAATTAACAGTGTATAAACCAAATCCTTGTTATATTTTTTAACTGCCCTTATAGCTTTCATTATATGTTTTAATATTTGCAAGCAGTTTAGTAGGTTAGGGATGCAACAGCACTTTTCAAATTATTGAATTATAACCAAATTTTGTGTCTGGATAGGAATTACTATATTAAAGTTTTACAGTTTGTAATGATAGAGTTGGAGCAAGTTAAGCTGCAATGTGCCTCAGTTTGCCCTACTTTGTTATTTTAAGCTGTTTAATGCCAGAATTATTTGAATGGGTTAACCAGTCCATCTGCTAGCCTGCGCGCAGACTATATAATTATATATATATATATATATATATATGTCATTATATAGTCTGCATGCAGGCTATCCATCTGCATGTCTACCTATCTTTGGTTAATTATCTCATTAGATCATTAAGCCACAATACTCTTTAGTGCACCCTATTTTGTTATTTCACTGCACTTCTGGACAATATTTCTCATCAATGGCCGGAAATGTAGTTGACTTCATGTTGATTACAGCCATTAATTAATTAACTACTGTACTAAATATGACATTCAAGGTTGGAGATATAGCAATAGAGGTTGCTATCATTATAGCATTCAGGGGCATTACTAGCCCAAATTGTCAGGCATTTGGCAATTTATTGTATCGCAATCGGGAAATTGTTTTCGTGGCCAGCATGATTTGAATTGGATAGGAAGGGAAAAAACCTAAATATACAAGTTTTTGTTGCCCCTCAGAGTAGGTATGTGTTGTTTTATAGTGTAAATAACAAGTTTTGATATTGCAATCAAACTGACAGGGTAGTTGTCATGACCATGGTAATAAAAATATTTCTGTGGCCCGGCATTTATATTGGGCAATTTTTTATCATTCATCACAAGGTTATACCTGCACCCTAGGTGGTTCCCTGCAGGGGGTCATAACCAGGGGGAAGCTGATGAAAATGAATTCTAGTATTGGTGGCTGCATGATCACTATCATTTAATATGAATAGAACATTTCTTAAAAAAAAGTATATGAATTTATTAAAAATATTTATATGGTCTAGCTCCCAATCTGGAATTCATACTTTGTAACATCTGGATCAATGACGTTTTCTTGGACAGAATCCAATTAATACAACCTTGTACAAAGGGCAGGGCTTCTTTGAATTACTGTGTGGACAAGATTAACAAAGGGATTGCCAAATTGGCATATTGTGCAACTTAATAAATTAAAATCATTAAATACTTTATGCTACAATTAGCTGTCAGTAATATTATATTGTATATTATTGTATTTCAAATGAAATCATAAATTTGATGGGTGGTCAACTCTAAATCGAGACACAGTCATCAGAGTGAATTAATTTTTCACTGTATGTGTTGGCCTTGTGTTTGGTAGTAAATACATGCAATTTCATATAATTTGCTCACTCCAGTACAACATAAGCATCAATACATTTTTTAGGTTGACCCCCTGTCAGAACCAATGACAAAATGTGCAAAATGCCATAGTGAAACCCAAGAATTCATTATATTATTGTGCACCCATCAATGTTAAGCCCCAGAGGAGGGGGGTCGGGCATAGGTGGGGGCATTTTATTTTTAGAGCAATTTTCAATCAAATGCCCCACCGTCGGGCAATAAATATTGGTCAAATGCCGCACCATTTTGCAATAAATTGCAAAAAATACTATGTTAATAAAAGTCATTCAGTTCAAATTGCCCCAACTCGGGGCCAAAATGCTAATCAAAATCCTCAGGGTGGGGATGCAATTGATGATCAAACACCCCACATATGCCCAACGTCCTCCCCCCTCTGTGGGTTAACATTGATAGGTGCATTAGGTGTATGCAGACTGGAATACAAGTTAATATCACTGCCTGTGAAATTGTGGTTTATTTAGAGGATAAAGGTTTTTTGAACTCTTCTATAAATAAATTATAACAGCAAAAGATTCATATGCACCCATATAGGGAAGGGTTACATGCTACAAGTTAAAGTACAGTATATACATTAAAGAATAAAATATATAACAGTAAATCCCAAGATTGGATTTATTGAAACTAGTTAATAGCTAGTTCTTCGCAATTAAATAACACAAAAACAAATTAATAAAAGTTATTAACCATTTCTGACACAAATAGTATTTGCAAAATATAGCACATATTTGATATTATAGTCAAATAGTACAGTGTACTGACAGTGAGTACTGTATACTATGTATAGATTAAAACTACAGAAAACCTAACAATATGAAATTGGTCGAAGACCCGTACTCAGGAAATAAAATAACAACATAAAACGCTCAAAGGCCTGGACATTTACCATATGTGACAATGGTAAATGAGCTCACGAGTGGAAGGAATACATTCGTTCGTTCGTTTATTATTATTAGGTATATATCTAGAAAAGGGTATGTATATCGCTGGAAACTCAGTGAGCGTTTTATGTTGTTACAGAAAACCTGTACAACACAAATATGAGTAAAGTTTTCACGCTCCATTTAACTGTTGTGATATTATACGCATTAAGTATACGTTTCTTTGCATTTCCTTTGTAGTATTAGTATATAGCACAGCTCTGAAAAACCAAAACAATATTCGTACACTCCTAAACGGCCGCCATGTTGTATATAAAAATATACGGTTAAAATTAATTTTTGCAAAATTGCAACATTCCATTGTATACCAGCAACCAATCATATTCATTTCTGAGATGGATTATTCCAGAGCCTTCGTTTCCTTCCCAAGGATCGCAGGCTCGGGGAACGAGATTGTCTCGTAACCCAGAGCCATCGTTGAGCAGTGCTTCCACTTTGAAAAACAAAAAAATCCTTTTTTTCTCCTTATTTTGACCGAAATTTCCTTCAAAAAATTGTGAAATTTCCTTCAAATTTCCTTCATAAAATTAAATAAAATTACGTTGAATACTCCAAAATCAACCTCAAAATAGCCTTTTCTCAACATAACAATCATCTGGATGTTCAATTTTATCATTGCTGTAAAGTATAATACAATTATATGACTTTATTTCCGTAAAGTGAGATAACCAGGGGCGTGAGAGCGGGTGTAGAAGTGCGGGGGGGGGGCACACTTAGTGCTCACCGAGGGGGGTGATGGCAGGTGGCATTCTGGAGATCCGGGGGCATGCCCTCCTGGAAAATTTTAAACTACAGTCTCTGAAATGCCATTTCCTGCACTTTAGAAGGAGATTTACAGAGTTCTAAAGGTAACAAAATGTCATAAAATATCTCAAGTTGTTTTGTCTACATGCGTAACTGAAATAATATCATTTAACTTTGTTTATTACTGACCATTGTTTTAAAAAGTGAAGGGCCCAAAGACATTTAAGCCCCCCCCCCCAACTAGAAAAGTTTCTAACGCCCCTGGAGATAGCTAAATACTATAAACTAAAACAGATGATGTCATTCAGGGAGACGAAATTAAATAATGAAATATATATTCTCAATTTCAATTCTCTATTAAATTGTGGCCAAATTGAGGCTTATTTTACGCTTTATTTTCAAAATATATTAAATATTCCCAATTTTGGCGAAATTTTGCTTTTTCCTTCAAATTTCCTTCGTTCTTCTAGAATTTCCTTCACATTTCCCTCAAAATTTATTTCCTTCAAATTTCCTTCATTTTGCAAAAATTTCCTTTCAAAAGGAAATTTCCTTCAAAGTGGAAGCGCTGTCGTTGAGTGGCTCTGGCCACACGGGATTGAAAAACGATCCTGATTGGTCGATCCATAAGTTATTGAACCCATACCCCCTGTGGCGTTCACGAGCGCGGCCAATATGAGTGAATACGATATATTTTGCTTTATTTGGCCTGAAAAGTTGCTTATTTTGACGATTTTTTTGTTGCTTTTCGTCCGAAAAAGTGGTGAAGGGATTAAGGAGTTGATTTATGCATACTTTAATTCATTTGGGCAAAATAACAGACTTCGTTATGGTAATAATTCATACTCTTGGTTCACTCTGAGTGCCGTATATTGATGGGAATGATGGCATATATCCTTGATCTACTATATTGGAGTGTTATTATTGAAAAGAAATTCAAGCGTACAAGACTTACAAGCGTACACGTATGCTAGCGAGGGGCAATTCACTCCAAAAATCCCGTACACTTCGTCAAAAAATCCAGAAAAAATCCATGAAATCCTCAAAATCCGTTGAATCCATCAAAATCCGAAAAATCCTTTAAAAACCACAGAAATCCTTCAAAATCCTTAAAAAATCCGCCAACCTCGTTCCCAGGGCTTTTCCCTTTTTGTCATTGGGAAGGCGGGAAAAGGCCCTGGCACCGGCCGGTCACATGACTTTCAACACCCAGATATAGTGGGTGTAATAAATTATAATAATAATAAATTAGAAAATCCAAGATGGCCGCCAACCTAAGAGTGTCCACAAAATTTAAGTGCTTAGAGCGGCTTAAAAATGCGTTTAGTCTTTGAAATTTTTCCTTCTTTTTGCTACCGACGTACTCGAAATCAGATTCTTCAGCTTTTATTACATGGGAACTATGTAGTTGCTGTTCTTCCAACTGGGTTTGGTAAATATCGTTCGTTCGCTAAACAAAATTAACAGCCATTGAAATATACGACAGATGTTCTCCAGCTGGACAGGCTTGCCTAAGAGGACACGAAAAGTGTTTTGAACTGGGGATGTTAAACTTGGTTTTACCCTTCCAAAGACTCTGTTTATACAGTGATTCAAAGAAATGCTTTTGCATATACTGTATATGTTATTGATCTATTGTTGAATGTCACTTATATTATAAAGTGCCAATGGTTGGAATACTTATTGTTACTGTCTTTGACCCCTCGTCAAAGTGGACGCCACTGTCTATCGAATATCATGTTTTTCAAACACACATCCAACGCTTAAACTCGAATATTTATGTTACTTTACTTTACTTACATCTTGTTTACTTACTCTTTGTTTACTTACTCTTTGTTTACGTTAAGAACCTCTTCTGAACCGTTTGGTTCTTCATGCACTAATAAATGTTTTAATATCAACTTATGGCGTCCATATTAATCGCCCAAAAACCCCTCTAAAACAACAATAAAATCTCGTGTTCTGTTATCACATGACCGGAAATAAATTTTCCCGGAAATGAATGTCCCCGGAAGACACGGTAGCCACACCGGCCCCTAAATCGATTGTAACGCAACAAACTATTTACATTAATAATATCAAGCTACCGATTTATATTTATGAACTTATCTGTCTATTACGTCCATTGAACTAGTCTTCTCTGCAGTTTCTGAATCATACTCTTTCCGCCGTTTGCTCTGGAATAATTTCTCCATCCATTTCCAACACGCACAATTTAGTTACAGGTCGCGTCAATACCGTGGTACTTGTCTTACATTCCTCATTTCGTTTTCGTTTCGATCTTGTCGCTACGGTTGAACTTGTTCTCACCTTCACTGTTCGAACGTATCCGTCTTTACTTAATTCCGCCTCTACAACCACTGCCAACGGCCACTGTCCGCGTGGATATGCTTCGTCAGCAAGTAAAACTACGTCGCCAGCTTTCAGATTTTCCTTTGGGGAATTCCATTTTCTTCTTTCCATTAATGTCGGCAGATACTCCTTCGTCCACCGTCGCCAAAATACGTTTGCAAGGTATTGCGCCTGTCTCCATGCACGCTTACTGTACAAATCCTCCTTGCTAAATACACCAGGGGGTAAACTTGGACTTGGTCGCAAATGCAGCAGATGGTTTGGCGTCAATGGTTCAAAATCCGAAGGGCTATCGCTATTTCTAGTTAGAGGACGAGAGTTCAAAATGTTCATCGCCTCCGCCATCACAGTAAGTAGCACTTCATCTGTAACTAGTTGTTCTCTGAGGACTGCCCGTAGTATCTGTCTCACTGATCTTATCATTCTTTCCCATACTCCGCCCCTATGGCTTGCTGATGGAGGGTTGAAGGTCCATTGAATACTTCTCTGTAAGCAAAACATGCTGATTCTCTCATCGTTCCATTGCTCTATGCATTCTGACAATTCCTTATTAGCGCTAACGAAATTAGTTCCACGGTCACTCCTTATTTCCTCCGGACACCCACGAATACTTATGAATCTTCTCAGCGCGTTTAACATGGAATCAGTATCTAGTGAATGTGCTATTTCAATATGCACAGCACGGGTTGTGAAACAAGTAATGATACATCCATATCTCTTCACCTTCGACCGTCTTTGGAGTGGGCCAAAATAGTCAACGCCTACGTACGTAAATGGTGGTTTGTTCGGCGTAAGTCTAGTTTCTGGTAAATTGGCCATAAACTGTTCACTCAGTTTTGCCTTTCTTCGCTGGCAATTCACGCACGACTTTATAACTCGTTTCACCTCTGCTCTCCCTTTAATAATCCAAAATTTCTTTCTGATCGAAGATAGTACTGATTCTTGTCCCATATGACCTACTTCGTAATGGTGCTGGCGAACAATCATGTCGGTTACTCGATGCTTGGAAGGTAAAATAATCGGATGTTTCGAGTTGTTATCTATACAAGCGTCAGTCAATCTTCCTCCGACTCTTAGAAGACCTTCTTCCACGAATGGATTTAACTGGCGAAAGGCTGATCCTTTCTTCTTTGGTAATTTCTTTGATTCTTTCTGGTTCGCTTGGGATGTAACAGTTTTCAGTTCATCTGGAAACTCTACTATTTGCACTCGTTGCAGGATTACTTTCTCTGCTTCATTTAGCTCATCCAAGGTTAATTGTCTTGGCAATGTTTCTTCTTTATTTTTGTGTGATTCCATTTCGTTTGTGACGATTTTCTTTAGCTGTAGCTTCGCCCGAAGATGTTCTCTCAAACGCAACAGCCATGCTACCGCACGCCTCAACTTCCACCAACTAGAAAAGTATGAAATCAGCCTTTCCAAGGGATGAATGCTGGTGGTTGCTGTGTAGATCCGAGCTTCTTTCCTAACTTCTGGCTCGTCTTCATTCATAGTTGGTATCTCTTTCGTCTGCGGCCATTGGGTTTCGTTCTTCCATAAAAATTCAGGACCTTGCAGCCAACGATTGTTCTTTATCAAATTGTCCAACTTAAGACCCTTTGATCCATCATCAGCTGGATTTTCTTTTCTATTAACATATCTCCATTCATTAACTTCCGACCCGTTGTGGATAATGGTAAGACGGTTCGACTCTAAAACCTCTTGCACAACCTCTTGCTCTCATTGTTGATGCACTTTAAAACTGAGGTAGAGTCTGTCCAGTAGAAAATTCTTCCAATTTCGAAATCCAACTCTTCTCTTATAATCTTCGATAGCTTCACTGATATCACGGCAGCCGTCAATTCCAGTCGAGGAATAGAAATCTCACGAATGGGTGCCAATCGAGCTTTCCCCATAACAAATGCGCAATACACTACGTTGTTATTGTCAGTAAGACGAAGAAATGCGACTGCTGAATATCCGACTCTCGACGCATCAGAAAAGAGATGTAACTGTATCTCCACGATATCACCGAAGTCAGCGGGTTGAAAACATCGGTTCACGCGTATTTCACTCAACTTGGAAAGATCGTCCAGCCAACGTTTCCACTGGGCACATTCATCTTCTCCGAGAGGATCGTCCCATCCGACTCCTTTCCTGCACAACATTTGTATCAAAAGCTTAGCCTTCATCACGTAGAGTGCGATGAATCCTAACGGGTCAAACAACGAGTATACGGCTGATACTAAAGCTCTTCGAGTCACTGGTTCTGTGTTCAAGAAGCGAGGTAACTTCTCTGTAACGTCCCATACAAAGGTATCATCTTCTGTATTCCACTTCAACCCAAGTGCACTTTCGATTGGAAGTTTTTCAACGTCAAGATCGACCACTGACTTAGCTCTTTCACCTTCTGGAATTGATGCCAATACTGCTCTGTTGTTACTATACCACTTCGTAAGACGAAATCCTCCCTTCGCCAATAATTCACGACTTTCCTTTACCAAAGTCACAGCTTCGTCAGGTTGTTTCAATGACTTCATCATATCATCCACGTACATGTTGCGCTTTATTGTGTCCACTACACTTGGATCAAATTCCTTTCCATGATCATCTGCCGTTCTCCTCAGACAGAAATTCGCCACACTTGGCGAGGATGTTGCGCCGAACAAGTGTCTAACCATTCTAAATTCTTCAAGTTCTCCTGAGAGATCTGCGTTCGGCCACCACAAAAACCGAAGAGCATCGCAATCTTGTGGTTCCACCAGTACCTGGTGAAACATAGCTTCAATGTCCGAGACCAATCCCACTTGCTCCTGTCTAAACCGAATTAACACCCCGACGAGCTGATTTGTCTGCTCCGGACCTTGTAATAACTGATGATTTAAAGAGGTATTCTTGTAGGTAGCTGCACAATCGTAAACTATTCTGACTTTCTCGGGCTTTGCAGGGTGTGCCACCGGGTGATGTGGAAGATACCAGGCGGGTGTATTGCTCGGTCGTAATTGCTCCTGTGGAATCTTCTCCGCATACCCTTTCTCGAGATAATCGTTCATCGTTGCTGCATATTTCTCCAAAAGACTTTCATTTCTTAGTAGACGTTTCTTTAACATCATCCCTCTTCGCACTGCCATTTCCTTATTGTTGGGTAAGTACGGTGGTTTATGTCGCCATGGTAGGGCGACTTGGTAATGATTGTCAACTTGCGATTCCTCCATCACGGTCAGAGCTCTTTTATCTTCAATCGAAGGACAGACATTTGTACCAACAACACAATCTTCAAAATCAGTTTTCCACAGTTTTTCCAACTGGTAATTCAAGTCTTGTTCCATAGACTTTTCCTCGGTTGAAAACTTCAATTCTTTGGCCGGTACATTCAAATGCGACATCAGAACGCCTTCCTCCGAGCTGCTATTCTCAAATTGATAGTCTGCCTCCGTAGAACATTCTGCCGGTTCTTTCACTCCGCACTGCTCGGTTTGATGATCCACCTTAGTGAAAAGGCTCCTTATATTGCTAACTGTCCGAGCAAGATTCATAGTGTAGCAATTGTTCTCTCTACCTTCGCCGATCGGGCCAACGACAGTCCATCCAAGACTATACCTTATCGCCACCGGATCGTTCTCTCTACCAATGCGATATTCAAGCGGCAAGAATATGCTGGGTCTCTCCTGTAAACCAATTACCAATGTTACTTCATTCACGTTTAATTCCGTTATTGGAACACCATTCAAGTGAGGCCAACTCTTAATATCCTCCTTGCGGGCAATGCAACTTCCAGCGATAGGCATTTTCTCAACTGTCCGTACATTTGATAATTCCAATGACGTTTCCCCGTCCATAGACATGACTACAATGTCTAAGAGTTCACTATCGATTTGTTTAGACTCATTTATTCCCGAAAGTGTGAAATCGATCTTTCGTCCATGAGCTTCAAGTTCCCTTTGCAATTTCTGATAAATAAGTGTAACTTCCGATCCACAGTCCAAGAGAGCATATGTTACTACTGAGAGATGCTCTCGTCCCTTGATTTGCACTTTCACTGGCACGACACTGAGGCAAACTCGCTCGCCGGCCCCAGTTGACGCAGATACTTTGGACTCCGCTTGTCGATCCTTCTCATTTTCAAACCTTATTTTTTTACCATGCTCCTCATTCAGAGTTTTACCGTCACGATCCATTTGAGACGTAATTTCTGGAGGGTGCAACAAGGTATGATGCTCTTTATTTCAGCCTTCTTGTTGACATCTAAAGTGTGCCCTTGGGCATGTTCGCAGAAAATGTCCTTTACTAAGGCATTTCAAACATAGGCGGTTTTCTTGAACAAATTTCCTCTTGTCTTCATAAGATAGTTTTTTATATGCAAAACACTTCCAAATCCTATGTACCCCAGAACAGAACAAACATGTTTGCCGAGCTGAACTTCATTCACGGTTCACGTCTTGGGTTTGCTATGCACCAGCAGTTAATGTAGACGATCTCTGCACAAAGCGCCCACCTACTCCTTGTCCCTTTCCTCTTATTTTTGACGTATTAACAGAAAGATCTTCAGCAAATTCATTGTTCACAAGTCTAGCTCTCCCCTTCACAAACTTTAAAAAGTCTTCGAAATTTGGTCTAGAACCCGATTCAATTATTGTTCCAGCACGCTCCGTCCACTTAACTCTCATAGATAACGGAAGTTTCCTATTCAACTCACGTAAAGTGTTCACATGACTCAATTCGCTCTCGTACTCTGGTCCCATGCTGGTTAGGGTTCTGTTCGCAATCTCTAAATTCCTTGCAAATTCCAACAAAAATTGGTCCATCAGCTTGTTTCAGGGCAGGTAGGTTCTCGAATTTCTTAATATGTGCTTTGGCAATTATATGGGGTTTCCCAAAGTTCTCCTTTAAGGTATTCTTTGCTGTAACATAACCTTGTTCAGCAGGCAGGTTCACACACGACTCTATTGCTTCTCGGGCCTTTCCATTACAATGTTGAATTAATAGTTGCAGTCTTGTGGCATTATCGGGATTGTCTTTCTCAAGACAAGTTTCAAAGTTATGAATAAATTATACATAGTTCATAGGGTCGCCATCAAAACTCATGTATTTAATTCTTGGAGTTGACACAACTTGTCGCAACGCTCGAACCATCTCCTCCCCATTGTCTCTCCTGGGGGCTATTGGCACCTCAAGCTCTCTTTCAGGTGGTTGCCGTGGCAACTTAGTTGCAATTCTTCTTGTAATCTTGCTACTGGGTGACATGCATCTAGCTTACCACAGTTTCTATTATTCCCCATATATACTTATCGCTCTGAGGGTAATCTGGTATCTAGCTGCGGTCTATGATTTCCAGGGTAATTAAACGACTTACTTGTTTGAGGGATGAAAGCACTAGGATAACTTGTGTGCTCCATTACTGCATGACTTAAGATGGGGTAATTCACGACTGGGTGTCTCACCATTGTGAGTGTTGCATAGTCCCAGTCTACACTTCCGGCCTCCAATACTATCGGTCTATATACTTCATGCTGTTCCAAATGTTGTGTTGTTCTCGACAACTCTTGAATTGAAGGAAGGTCAGGGGGGTAGCGAGTATAAAATTCACTTTCCCATTCATAAGCATTGGTCTCGGTCAGAGGGCTCAAATCAGATTCCCCTTGTATTTCATTACCATTAAAACCTGGCATATTATTGTCATACTCTCCAATATGTTCATTAGCTAATTCAGTGTAAATATTAAAGCTAACCTTTGCTTGTTCTTCTTCCATTTGAGCTTCCATTAGTTCTTCTTGATATCTCAACTCTTCCATCCTCCTCTTCATTTCATGTCGTTGCATTAACTGATTTACTTTTGGCTGTGCGAGAGCCATTTTTCCCTTTTCTTTGGCAAGGCTGATGCTGAACTTGTTCCACTTGTTAAACTACTAATCTGGCTTCGACCTTTACCAGATCCATACAACCTTGGCTTTTTACACCAAGATGCTACTACTCCGTCCAATTGTACCTTTTTTGCCATCTGTTCTTTGTATGTCAAACTGGCTCTTCTTTTTTCATCCTCAGCTGTGACAATTTCTAAATATTCTTCATGAACAGTTACAAATTCACACCACGTTTTATCATAAACATCTTTCTTCTACATACCTGGCCAACATTCCCAGGCCCTGCATCAATAAGTCCTTGAATGTCTTCTTGTAATCTCAAAAGACTGTTAATATATTCCAACCTCGACTTAAATATAGTGTTTATATCGTGCAATAATGACATATTTTCTTGTCGACTCTGACGACTCATACTAACAGAGTTCAGTAGCACTTCTCAATACATGCCAAACCCTTTTAAATGTCAAGTTTCGTGTCTACAATATATGTCATATATATATATTTGGCTCAAACAATTCCAATATGCAATATGCAACTGTAATCCTCGTATGATACAGTACTATTTTCAAATAAACCTTTTTTTCTTTCAGAATACACTAAGACAACATTCTGAATCACTGATTTGATTGTCTATCCCAAGACAAATATTTCTACACGCAATATTATTGTAAATCCCTTGTAAATGTATATAAGAAATTCCTTAAAATAAACTGTATGAGGCAATACCCAAGTACACGATGTTTCTTCTTGAAACTAGTTTATAAATCCACAATACAAATTTGAGCAATCTTTGCACACAATTATCCAAACTTGGCAAATATCTTCCCTTGGAGACCAAATAAGTAAACACGAATTACTTCGTTATATTAATCAATATTCCAAATTAATAACGTATTCCAATACAATTAGTCAAAGATCAAGTTTCTTAAACCAGGTACATATTATAAATATGTGATATATCCACAATGTAATGTTTACATACAATAGCCAATAAGCCCACAATTCCAAACCGTGGTTCCCGTACTTCTCGATTAAATACAACCAAATTTCAGACCAATTTGTCTGACGTAAACAATAAGGTACCTTCTTCCAAATCCGGAATGACACAATATCCAAACAGTAATTATCTCCTTCCTGAAGACCAATCGTCGTTAACACAATTACACGCAGATTTCAAACGGTTCTTAACTGTTACTGTCCTTGACACCTCGTCAAAGTGGACGCCACTGTTTATCGAATATCATGTTTTTCAAACACACATCCAACGCTTAAACTCGAATATTTATGTTACTTTACTTTACTTACATCTTGTTTACTTACTCTTTGTTTACGTTAAGAACCGTTTGGTTCTTCATGCACTAATAAATGTTTTAATACCAACTTATGGCGTCCATATTAATCGCCCAAAACCCCTCTAAAAAACAATAAAATCTCGTGTTCTGTTATCACATGACCGGAAATAAATTTTCCCGGAAATGAATGTCACTGGAAGACCCGGTAGCCACAAGGACTGTGCTTTTTCTTTGACACTGTGACGGCAGACATCTTTTATATAAAACTTTTTCTTTCCCGTATAATGGCGGGAAATTGCTATTGTTTCGAAGAAAATTAACGGCGGAGCTTTACGTGTGTGAAATCAAAATACGAAAAAATTGAACGCTGCTCGAAAATTAAAGATGGCGAAATCGAAGAGGAACCAAATTCACTATCCCAAGTCTAAATCCATCGAGAATATTACGAAAGAACGAATTGTGGCAAAGCTGAAGGCAATTCGGGGTAATTTTAAGAAAGCAATATATCGTCAGCGGGAAACGGAGCGGGGGCGGTAGAGTTGTGATGACATACTGTATTTAACAAATATGAAACATTTTCTGTGTTGATATACAGTTATATGAACACGAGTGGAATTGGGTAAACGAGAAATTGTATGGAAACACGACGGCCGAAGAGCGGAGTGTTTTCGTACAATTTCGAGTTTTCCCAACTTCCACGAGTGTTGATATAACTACTATATATCAATACGGAAAAATGTTTTATATTTTTTTTATAATATAGCAATGTCAAAAGCCCGAAGGATAAGAAAAATTTCCGTGTTTACAAGCGGCCGAAAATTTCCCGTGTTGACATTGAGATATATCAAGACGGCTCTTAGCAAATCAGCGTTCAGAATTTACAAATGCTATATTATAATATGATTTATGCCACGACATATGGGCAGGGCCCCCTTCGACAAAAAGTATCGAAGGTACGTACAGTAAAACAGTTCAGTAAATTTACGACATTTTTGCTACTTTTTATCGCAGACTATTCAATGTTCCTTTTTATCTCAGACTATTCGATAATATTTATATTTGATGTTTATTGAAACTCTCTTGCAGTATATTTACACTGAAGTATTACTAAAACTATATATTTACATAATTATATACATACAACTGTTAAAACTATGTATAAACATCAAAAATATTTAAAAGTAAAAAATTGTTCAGATCTTAAAGTTCTGCATTTAGTTGTGTTCTTAAGTAAAATAGTACCGTCTTGCCCATTCCGTAGGCTATACCTGCATTCGCTCATCTTATGTGTTGGGAGCATAAAATTCAGGGGATGATCCTCCTTCATTTTAGTCATATATTTTTGTATCTGCGAAGCAGATATATTGCTATCGCAAACGTGACCGTACCGTAATGTTACCGTATGTTAGCACATAGCCATTCAGCGACGCGCTTATATAATTTAAGCCAATTTAAGCCAATCAGCGATTCGTTTACATCAATTGTTTAAATCGTGCCCGCATCTAACCTGCGAACGGGCATACTTTAGCCTCGTCAGGCCTCGTGTATAAATCGTGTTTATATTCTTTCAAAAATATCTTGATATTTTTATCAATTTATCTTGAATATAATTGGCTGTCTTGTTTTCTGACTTTTCTCGCCATTCTACTTGCGATATTATTCCGAAGTTATTTATCAACATGGAATCTTATCCTCATCTGGTAAGCAGTCAAATACCACATATTATATATTTAAATACCAAATTTGTGCGAATATATGTTCCATATATTTTATAATACATGAGTTCGCCAGTTCCGCAAATATTTACTATATACTATCTATAGTTAATATTGCCTTATCTTCGGCGTAGAGTGTACATGAAATGCGCTCTGGAATTTTTTTATTAATACAGTATATTACACTGTATAAATATTGGATATTTTCGAGGTATTTTAAGCCATTTGTCAACATAGTTCACAAAAAGATTTATACAGTAAAACAAATATCCTTCTGTGACTTCTGTAATATTTTAAACAGTCAAAACATAGCAGGCAATATTGCCAATGAACAGTATCAAAGGAAACGATATTGAATTAAATCCTGGTCCTGTATTTCTGTATAAACTCTGTTCAAAACAACAGTCCAACTAAGCTGGCATCAAATGTAGTGTTGGGGGATAAAGATGTTATCAGTTTTAATATAATACTTATACATTTTGAATACACAGAGTTTATAATTAAACAAAATTTTTACAAACATTTTCAAATGCTAATAAAAGAATCCCAACCCTCCTGGGCCTCACTACATTGTCATTTTGCTTTCTGACAAATGTTTTTGTAAATTAGAGATTGATACAAGAATAATGAATAAATGTGCTGGATATTGGCTAGATAATTTTGTCTGAACAACCCACTTGCAAGACAATCTTACCTAAATGCATTAGCATGGAAAATAACTTATCAGCTACAATGAATGAATGAATAATTATATATTATGTGGATGGACCTGATCATTGGCACACAATGTACAAAACTAAACTTGTGATACCCTCTACTCAAACAGATTTTCTCCCACAACACAAATTGTTTTTGTGTGATATGCTGTGTTAAACCGAACAGTGCGGTATATCATGAACTGTGTACAGGACTGGAATTGAATTATATACTTCACTCATGACTTTCAACACATTCTGTATAATACAGTGGTCTTTGATATATGACTGGCCTCTTTGCTACAGTAATACATGTTCCTCAAATAGTTTGCGTATGTTACTCAATTGTTTACATTGGCAAGTGTAAACAACAAGTGACAGAACTTTTGCTTCATATGATTACAATAAAGTTTTGAAAATTTGCATGAGTATGGGTTGAATTCACAAGTGGCAGTTTACTAAATAACCGACTGTATAGACACTTCAAATATTGTTTGCATGAAATTTTTATTTCCTTACTGCATAATTATCTGTTACAATCATAATCACATTATAAAATTAGTTAAATTTTCTTGGTGGTGGTGGTGCATGGTGGGTGGGTGGGGGAGGGTTTTCAGTTACCCTTGCTGCCCTTCTCGCTGTGTACAGTATTGCTAGATGTATATTATGTTTGACTTTAAAATCTTATTTGCTATTATATTTATTATAATAAGTGATGAAATATTTCAATTGTCCCATGTCATTTTCATTATTCAGTTCCTTTCAACAAAAATACAAAATGTGAATCAAGTTTTTTTCGCAGATACATGTACGCGTCGCGTACCTATTTCTTACATAACAGTTCGCGTCTGCTCTCCATTGTTGGTATCTGTGCCATCATCATCGCCTCATTATAATTGTCCATGGAAGGGAAGATGATTCGAAGTGCCCTTCTCTGTATTGATTCTGTACTTTCACTTAAATAGTCATGGATCGCTTGCCATATTGGAACAGCATATTCCAATACGGTTCTGATAGTAGTTAGATACACTTTTGGTATATTCCTTTGCTCAACGCCAGCTCTACGAAGTACGCGGAGGGAATATAGCTTCTTACAAGCTTTTTTGTAGATATAATCAACATGTTTATTCCACATGAGATCCTCACTCATTTGAACTCCAAGTAATTTATAATTCGTTAGCCTTTCTACTACGTTGCTGCCTATTGCAAAAGGCCTCATTATGGAGTTGTTATTATTCATAAAATTAATTACCATCTCCTTGCATTTAAGTGCATGGGTTGAGACTCATATTATGATTTACAGAGATTTGATGTAATTCATCTACCGTATGGTTCAGATAACTAATTAAGTTCCTGGGAATGATCTCTAGCGCAGCTGTCTCATCGACAAACTTTGTCCTTAAATGCCAGTCAGATATTAGCTTATTTGTCATAACCGAGAGAAGAATAACACCAAGTTTAGTTCCCTCAGGTATACCACTATTTGGGGATTTCCAGTCTGACAAAGTACCCCCTATTCTGACAGCCTGTTTTCTATTTGAAAGAAAAGCGTTAATCCAATTATATAAGACAGGATGAATATCCAATTCCATCAGCTCCTGCATGAGAACATGGTGGTCAATACGGTCGAACCCTTTGCTAAAGTCGGCAAAAAAGAAACGAGCACAAGCATTTCCGCTATCGAGGGCCTCGTAGACGGGTTGAAGCAAAAATAGTAGTGCATTCATAGTGGAGTGACCCTTACGAGCAAACTGACTGGGGTCAATTTTTCGTGTCAGCTGTGATAGAAGTCTCCTACAGAAAAATCCCTCCATAATTTTAGCCAAAATGCATTGTTAGGAATGTTGGACGTAAGTCGCTTTCAATTGATTGTGGTGGGGTTACTTTCGGTATGGGAGATATAATTGAGGATTTAAGTAAATCTGGGATATATGCTTCCTTAATGGACTGATTGTAAATATCCTGAATGACCGGAGAAAGCTCCGTAGCAAATTCCTTTAATACTTTATTTGGGAGTTCGTACGGTCCAACAGATTTGGCTGGCTACTTGTAGAGATGACAATGATCGATAAACCTCTGCTTCAGAAACAAGGAACTCGTTTGGGACATGCTGAGTTGGCCAAAAGGCGATAACGGTGAGAAGTTCTCAGTTATGCTCAAGAAGAAGTCATTGAGTATCTGCGAGTATCTTAACATTTCCATTGTCACCAAGAAATTGATAATGCCACTCCTGTTGAATGTCTTGTCCCATAATATGATTAATTCTATAATATAAAATACGGTACATTGTAAATATATAATTTACAATTCTACTATTAATTTTAGCTTTAATAAGAGTATTAAACATGTGTATACAAAGAGGGGTTTATAAATACTTAATATAAGTTGGCCAGGTGACAACCTGTTCACAGTGCCATGGAAAGGAAGAGTTTTATAAGTTGTATAATTTTAATATACAACTTTGCTTTATAATTCAATAGTACTGTGAACAAGCAGTCACCCAGCCAACTTTTAGGAATGGGTGTATTATTGTATATGAGCCATTATTTATCAACGCAAAGAAAATAAAGGTCGAATGCACACTTAATGCAAAGTCAAAGTAGAGTATTCAGTAGCTCTAAAGCTATGGCACAGCGAAAGGAAACTCCAAAGATGATTTATCCGAAATCCGCTTTGTTTTCGATCGGAATGCAAGTCTCCCCTTTGTGGTAGTATTATCGACAAGAAGTATATTTGCAACAACCTATTCTTAGAGCTACCGAAATACAAACCTGCTTCGTATCCCAGAATTTGTGAATTGTGGAACTCTTGCGTGTGATGACCGATGACGGATTTTCTAATCTTCTTAAATTAACATTAAAGTAAAAGAATGGGGGCCAAAAAAACACCCAAGACAGTGAAGTCAATCGAATGTTTAATATTAAAGTAGAGCGACTGGAGGGATATTTGCGGACGATAAACAACTTCGACATAGCTGTAGGAATTAAGTCAAGAAGGCATCTTCTCACAAGCACAAATCTTCGGAGAAAATATTATTTTATCTCATCTCTTGGAATTGAAACCATTTGCAATAAACAATATATGATCATTTTCATGAAGGTTTCTTCACAGATAATATCATCAGATACATTAGCAACATTAGACAAATTGTCGCTGCATTTGATGACTAGCTAAATAAACACAAGAGGAACTTTCACCAAGCACGTACCAGTGGACACATCAGAAGATGAAGAGGAATTATGACTGAGAATACTGTAACACTTGCACGAATAAGCAACAATGATTTGTATGGCTGTAGCACAGGCTGCCAAGACAACCCTATAGCTTGAAAGGATTATATGCACAATTTGCACTCGTCCTATTATAATGCAGCTATTCCAATTAAGGTTAGTGTCACAGACAATAGTTAAATGTACAATTGAACGCTAAAAATGATCCTAGTATTTTAAATCATCTATAGCCTCATGGGAATACAAATTAAATTGGTATTCATAATATATTTGAGGTGTTAAACTTATTGAAAACTATCATTATTCCCATTATTCATTTAGCACTCATATATTGTATACATCTGGCTATTGTTTGTGACAACTTTAATTGAAATAGCTGTATGGTTACAGTATAATGTATACAGCTATTTCAATTAAGGTTGTCCTCCGAGCAAATTAAGCGGAAAAGTCGAATACGAGCGCGAAAGGCTGCTGGGATTCGTTAATAAATTCATTCATTTATTAGCGATTCCCAGCAGTCTTACGCGCTCGTATTCGACTTTTCCGCTTTGCTCGAGGGACAACCAATACTTAATTGAAATAGCTGTATACATATGTATTCAATTTAGAATTTTGTTCTGGCACTGCTGTATGGGTTTTTGAACTGTCCATGAAGTAAATTGAGTTTATATACGCAAATGATGACAAAAATGTGAGAGAATGTGAACGTATAGTGCAACTTGTGCCCACTTAAAAAAACTCAGTTCAACAAAATTCACATTTGTGATTAATTGTGTATTCATTTGGTACAAAGTCAAAAATATTTCACAAGCCCAAAAATATTTGTCTGATCTGGTAAAAACATTCCCTTTCCATTTCTAAACTACACTCAACACATAAATAATGTATTTTGCATACACTACATGTATATAGCATAAATTGGTTTGCAAGACCAAGGCATCAATATCAGTGCCTGTATCTGAATGCCTTTTCGTAAAAGATATTCTTTCGGCCAAGAATTTGCAACCGACTCAAAGCAATTCTGCAAGCCAAGTGAATCTTGTATGTGCCTTCAGACAAGTTTATATGCTGTAGCAGTCATGCAATAACGACTGGTGTACGTTAGGAAATACAGCACACAATATGTATACTAGGTTTGGCATAAAGTAAACAAAATTGAGATAACAATATTTGTTACTCAGTTCTCGTAAACTAGTGTTCTGATTGGTCGATTTGTACCACGTGACTTAATTTTACATAACAATGCACGGCCGTGCATTATAGCCGTGCATGAACTTTATATCGCACTGCAAGATGGCTGCTGAGTGTGAAAAGTTTTTGGAATTGTCCTTTGAGGAAATAGAAGCGATAATTTCGGAGGCAACGCCAACAAACACAAAAAGAGCAACGGCATGGGGTGTTTCGCCATTTAAAGGTGAGTTTTTGTTGGGTTTTTTGTGTAGTTTACACGGTTAAAGGTGACCAAAAGAGAACCAAAATCGAAATATTTTTAACCCTTGGCTTTCATGCAATTTACAAACTTTTTATGCATTTAACAGATTTGTTGTCAAACAAATTCCCAGAAGAAACATTGGAAAGTTTATCCTCTGACATCCTCGGCGAAAGGCTTATAAAGTTTTATCAAGAGATGAAAAAAACACCGACACAGCATTACAGTCCTTCGGCGCATTTGTCTATTCGTGCTGCACTAGATAGACATCTTTCTGCATTGCCAGAGTTTAACAGCATTTCAGTCATCCGAGACCACAAGTTCAAAGCTGCAAACAAGTCACTCAATGCGAAGCTAAAACTGATAAAAGCGCAGGGACAGGGTAAAGTTCGTCATCACCCGTCTATTTCGGCCGAAGATATCAAAAAGTGCTACGAAACCAAAGTGTTTAGAGATGAATCGCCATTATTATAAGTTTACTTCGAGTGAACTGGTTCAATATAAGCTTGCACTTTTGCCGCCGTGGTCGAGAAAACCAAAGGTCCCTTACAAAAGAAAGTTTCGAGATTAAAACGGATGCAACTGGAAACGAGTATGTGGCAATGGCAGTAAGCAAAAGCACGAAAAATTATCAAGGCGGGCTTGGAGATAAAGCTATTGACGAAGGAGACCCGAAAATGTTCAGCAATGGGAAATCATCATGTCCCGTGAGATATTTTAATAAGCTTCTCGCTGTCTTGAATCCAAAACAAAATGCTTTATTCCAAAAGCCGAAAAGAAATTTCATGTCCGGTGATCAAATATGGTTCGAAAACTGTCCAATTGGTGTGAACAAAATAGGATCAATGATGAAAGAAATTTCAAAAGATGCGAATTAATTTTAAGCCATGTTTACAGCAACCATTGCGTGAGGTCAACAACCGTCACAGTTTTGGATGCCGCTGGGATTCCCATCCACAGAATCATACTAACGTCAGGCCACAGGAATGAATCAAGTGTCAAGTTCTACTGTGATCGGCAAACTTTGGAGAAAGAAAAGGAATCGTCAAATATCATCGCGAGATTTGGGAACGAATTGCCAGCACAAGCAAGGCAGGAGCTCGAACAAGAAGGCAACACACAGTCACAGCAAGCCCAAAGTCAAGTGCAAAACAACATTGTCGCCAATGTTAACCATTCTCCTACTTTAAATTTGCTACGAAGTGCTGAATTTAATAACTGCAATATTACATTGAATATCGTTAAAAACAGTAAGTGAACTGTTTAGTGTTAACAAAAATGTTGCGTTTTAATAATGGTTTACTTGAACTTCACTTATATTAAAAATCTTTATTCAATAATTTTTCTCAATTTGATAATTATACTGACTTTTATTGTAATTATAAATTTTGTAATTATAAAATTTGGTTATGTAAATATGAATTATTTGGTTTAAATTAAAAAATGTTCTTGAGAAATGATTTATCAACTGTGGCGTTTCTTTTTGCATATTTCTTTTTGCATACATATACAGTATGAAATGCTTGTTCTTTTATGGTTTACTCAAACTGAATATTAAAACGTTTAAAGCACTCCTTTGTTCGTGCATTATCGGGATTTACAAGCACTCGTTCCCGAACAAGAAACTCGAAATTTAACACTGCACTCTGCAGCGCCTCGTGCAGTGTTAAATTTCTTGTTTCTTGTTCGTGAACTCGTGCTTGTAAATCCCGATAATGCACTCCAAGAGTGCTGTAACCTTAAATAATGGATGATTGAGAAATAACATGTAGAATTAGTTTTGTCTTTTGGTCAAGTTCAGCTACATCGCAATCAATCTCTTCGTTGTCACATTTTAATTGGCTGCTTAAAAATATTTAGTGCTGATACTCCGAGTTTTATCGCACATAACTTTCGAGCTGGATTGTTTATCAAAGGCGCGTTCACGATATACTGTAACGAGCAGCACAGAGGTCACGTCATTTACACAAACGCCCTGAGTTGGACGTTCTTCTAACGCTCTTTTAGCGAAAGGCATCAAAGGCAAAATAAATCAGCGACTCGCCATTGATATTACCGGTTGGAATTGCCAGTATATACACGCCAAAGGACAGCTTTTCCAAGCAAATAACCTGCTTGGGCTTCAAAATAGTGTTTGCATACAAAATAGTTATAATAGAAAACTGCAGTCACTTGAAGTCACTTCTCATAGCTTTACAGTCACTCCTCGGCGGGCCTTGCAAACACAACATTTAACCGGAAGTTGTAAATTACAACATCACATTTCAACCACCCTTCCCTTGGACCTCTTGTTACCCTAATTTTTAGGAGTTCACGTGACCAGAGGGAACCATGGTCTTCGCCGTAGCCCGAGCGCAGGTAAAAGACCCTGGCTTGCGAGGTTGTGTGAAAGTTGGGTATTCTTTACTTTCATGTGTTGTGATGCAACATCTCGGCAAATGGTGGTCAACTCTAAAAAGAAACACAGTTACCGGTGTGAGTAAATTGTTCACTATATGTCTTGACCTCATGTTTGCTGGCAAATACCTACAATTTAGCCTCATTTGCTCGCTCCCCAAGTCGTTAGTGTTGATACATGTGATATTGACCACCAAGTATAACCCTATGTATAACACCTTGATGCTACCAATTGTTTACATCAGAAGGTACATATGTGCAGAACAGACTTGACCGTCTCTAACCCATTGAGTCGCATTGTGCACTGATGCGCCCTACTTTATTATTTTACTCTGTCTAATGCTATGCGATTTTACTCGTTAAGGGGAGAGCGCTGGCGCTTAGTGGCTTAACTGGCCTATCTGCCCATGATGCAACCTCGCACCCAGGGCTTCTGCGCTTATTGCTCTCAGAAGCCCTGGGATAATCCAACTCAGAACGTGATTTGATTGGTCAATGCGAATTTTGGCAACTTGGCTGCTATGACAAGGAGTGTATACAAAAGTTAAATGGTTGTTTTTGCGTGAAAATACTTTCTTAAATCAAATTCTGGGCTATTTTGAAAAGAGCAAAAGAAGAAATGGACTATTTGTATTTGTAAATAAGCAAGAATGGCGAACAAAGTAAAAAAATTAACATAAAGCGAAACATTTCTCGTTCGAAAATTGGAATTTCAAGTGTAAATCTGCAACTTCAACCACGATATTCAATGTAAATATTACATAATAAAGTTTTTAATACCTTTTTTTATTAATTACCTTTATTTGATAAATTGTGTGTTCTATATTATTGCATTTTGTATTGGAATAGGATAAATTATTAATTATACACAAATATATAATATTTAAATTTGCAAATTATTCCCAATTTGAGGATGCTGGGTGCACTGCTTCAGAGTTTGTATTAGTGCCTATTTATTATTGAGTTATAAGTGCCTCTAAATCTCTAATGTACAAACATTGTAACCTGTTACTTTATACCATAAAGAAACTGTTGATAGCACATATATTAAATGACTATTAATCAAAATGAAGTAAATCTTCGACTATTATATAGCATATTTCCTCCAATATATTGAGGGAATGATTTCTCCTATTTATTTTTGTAATAAGCCAATATTGCCCAACTGAAGTAAATATTGCCAGACTGGCCTAGTCTGCCCAACAATTTGGCCCGCCCCATACGCCTATGGCTAGGCCTACAGGTGGACCCCCAACCTGATCGGTCACAATTTTTCTTTCTCCAAAATTTCCCCTCCCTATGTACAAGGATTGACAATTTGACAACTTGATTAGATTTGGGGAAAAACCACTGTTATATCCACAGAGGAAATTGAAAGTTAACCTCTCGTACCCCCTTGGATGTCCTAACGCATTTACTATTATCAGAAACAATTTTTTCCCCCTTCCCCTCCGGACGGCAGAAATTTCCTCTGTGGGGGGAGTGTGGATCTTTTCTGGAATGACCCATTTGAGAAATGCTTTTGGACAAATTTTAAATTTTCTTACAAACACAACTCATTACTGTATGTCAGAACACTGTTCTAAGTTGCAACTAAAATCCAGAGGTCTGAAAGGCTCAAGGGGGGGGGGGTTTGTAGTTAAGTCGAGTTGTTTGTAGTTAAGTCGAGTTGAACATGTGTTAACTGCATGGTTATTTCAAATTACCAAAACACATTAAAATAGCCCCCAAAATGGCAGTTTACCAACTAAAAATTTAAAAAGTCTACATTGTACTATATTATATACATGGATAGCTTGGGAGTCCAAATACATTTTTACATAATAACAAATATTCAAATTAGTGCAGGCCCCTCCTGGGGATTTCAGTCCCCCTTGAAGGCCTTAATTAGAAATCCTGGTTACATCACTGCTCAATTCCATTGCCATGCAGTGGTGTTAGCATGATTATACAGAGTACAACTAGTGTGTATTATGAGATAATCCATTGAGCACCAGTCTCTCTTCCAACATATAAAATCATCTGGTGTTAGACAGTCAGAGTAAAATAAAAAGTAGGACACAATGTGTAACTTAATAGGTAAGGTCATTAACCAGAACTAAATGATAAACAATATTTTGTAATATTAAACCCAAATTAGTTCAGCACCATTGGTTCTTATAACACTGTTCATTCCAATACTAGAATATCAATTGTCATTAATTAACATGTATTTCAGTTCGCAATTAACAAAAGTTGGGGTTTCATCCGATGACCTGTATGCTTCTAACGATTACGTCCATGCAGCTATCTGACAGTTTTTAATTTTCAACATTCCAAAAGCCATTATTCTCAAGATTTGCCAAAAAGGTTTTCCAAATAAGTACATTCTTCAAGTAGATGCATGTTTACAGTAATCTTGTGTATTTATAATTAAATCGACCTTGCAATATCTTGTTCAAAACCGTCAAATCCAAGATAAACGACAGTCAGCCATATTACCAGTAGGATTTCTAGTTTGTTGACCTTGAAATGGCCAAGGTTTTACTCGAGTATAAATATTTACACTTTACTGAATAGCCCCTGTATATCGCTGACCACGTATTGCTGCTTTTGTCGCGGTATAAGATGTTCTTTTGCACGCCAAAGGGCTAATTTTACGCATAATTCTATCTCTAAATTGATCATTCCTGACTTTAAATTCCAAAAGCCACACGAGAAGCAGTTTAAGACGTCTTTACAAGTCCAAATCTATCATAAATTGCAACAAATAATGCATTCTCACTCCTTGCATAAAAATATGCCCAGTCAGCGTTTTTAGCTGGAGCTACTGTTTACTTCCGCATCCGGGGGCACCAATGTTCTATGGTGTTCCGGTTTGGATTATCCCAGGGCTTCTGAGAGCAATAAGCGCAGAAGCCCTGGGTACGAGGTTGCCCATGATGTGTGTAGTTAACCCAATGAGTCACATTGCAGCCTACTTTATTATTTTCTGTCTAACGCGAGATGATTTTACTTGTCAAGGGAGAGTGCTGGTGCTTAATGGGTTAATAATATTTAAATAGAATTAGCCTCCTCCACAGGCAACTCTGTATTGTTTTGTGAAATAGGTTTTATATTTGGAATTTTTTCCTCCCATATTTTGCTCTTCCCAGGCCTAAAACTATTTTGCTTGAAGCTCGGCCACAGTTTGATCATTTACAAAATGCATTTACAATACAAAACAAATAAGAGTTGAAAACATGTTATACAAAACAATACAGAGTTGCGTGCGGAGGAGGCAAAAGTACAATATGATTTATAACAGCAGATAACATTGAATTGTAGAAATCGAAGAAAAATATAACTTTAAACAATTTATGTAAACAGTGTATTTTTTCAGTCTTTTCAATATATCCACATTTATCAAATGTGCATATTTTAACATTATTTGTCTGACACTCTGGGGCTTAACATTGATACATGTAGGATAAGCTATGGCGAAAACAATGGAGGCAAACAGTTGAGGGCGCCCTAGAAAATTTCTTCAGGAGGACCTTTACATGCTGATGTATAATCCAATGGCTTATTATTACCTACATTACAGGAAACAAAAACCTGAATCTATAGATTCGCCTCTCACACTCTGGCCTATAGCCTCACTTCTACCTCCAGGGGAAGTGAAATTGTCACACTCACACATTATTAGTTCCTTCTATGGTGCATATGGCTCAAGAATTTTTACAGTGTCAGTGAAAATGTCCAACGTTTGTTCAACCATTAATTCACCCTCAACCTCAACACATGCATGTACAGGCTGAAGTTATCTGGTATGCCTATATGCACATGGGGAATATTTTGAGTACAAAAATTAAAGGTTGACCAACAATTTTGCTAGCATTT